AAAACCTAGTGACTCTTTGGAAATTAAAGGTTTCAAGGTAGTTCACAGACGTGATTGTAACGACATACGAAAACCATTTGGTCAAATCACTTATTTAAAAAATCATTTGAAGTATGAAAGCATTGCCGAAATATGTGAGTATGCAGGCAAAAACCATATTGAATACTCCTCAATAAAAATTGATGATATTTGTATCATTTCTGTTTACAATTCACCAAATTCGACATTCGATGTCTTAAAACGACATATTAATGAAGTTATAACTGCTTCAAAACGATTTTGTGAAAATATAATTGTTGTTGGTGATTTCAACATAAATTTGAAGATTAAAACCAATTACAAATTTATTGAATATATGAAATCATTCGGACTAACTTTGATTAATAAATTAAATAAAAATTCAACTAATGCTAAAACACAGATTGACTATTGCTTCGCTAATGTGGATGGCTGGAAATGTGATTATTTTGAAAGTCTAACAAGTTTTCATAAACCATTATGGATAAGAAAACATGAAATTGACTCACAACTTCATGTTGATGAAAACGAACAGATTCGTACAGATATGCCTTTGAATCTTGGAGATCTTAGCATTGATGATCGCTCTGATGTGATGGACATCGACGACCAATCTTCTTTCGAACAAACTCATACAGATATATCTTTTAATATTAACGATTTTCACACCGATGATCAACCAGAGATAATGGAAATTGATGAACAATCTTCTTTTGAAAATTATGAAATGACTGATGAAGAAAATGATCAAATCCATACAGATATATCTTTTAACTTGAAAGAACTTAAAACTGATGGTCTACGTGCTTCAACGATATTTGACGGGAAATCTCCTATCGAAACTTACGAAATTGTTGATTTAAATACGAGAAGGATTCTTGATCACTTTCTTCTTGTACTTGATTCTAATAATACAACAGACACTGATCAGATTTCTAATCAAGCTCGAATAATCAATGATTTAATTGAAAAATCACCATTTATAACTGTGCACAATAAAGACCAATCTGTGCGATTAAAACCAAAAACGGAATACTCTGTTCAAGCATTTGATTCAGTTTATGCTAGAACTCGCACAACTGGAGACGGCAATTGTTTATATAGTTCTCTTTCGATAATAAATATCGGGTCTGAAAAACTAACACATTCGATGAGATTGTTGGCAGTCAACGCAATGATTAATAGTAGAGACTATTTCGAAGGACTTTGTAAATTATTGCACTATTCTTTTGAAGAACAGTTGAAAAGAACTGCTATGGATACAATATGGGGTGGAGAAGTTCAAATTCAAGCGCTTTCTATAGCTCTATTTCATCCTATATATTCATATATACAGTTTAACAGCGATCCAGAAAATAGACATTATATTTCATCGAGTATTAAATTACAGGAACTAGTTGATCGATTTGTTAAAGGAACAGCAGGCGGTCATTTAAAATACATAGGATATAAATCCGATATGAATAAATTAGGATTTTGTCTTTATTACAACGGTATTCACTATGATGCTCTTTTACCTTTTCAAGATAATCCTCAACAATTTTTACCACATTTTGACTTGATTAATATGAGTTTATAACAAGATTTCAGTAAAACAACCAATTTCTCATTCATGCGATTGAATAGAGTCTCCGGAACTAACTCCTCGCCGCGTCCTATGGGACAAAAAGAGGGCATCCGCAGGGCCTAAGGGGCAGTTCCTTAGTGCGCTCAAGGATGAATTATTTTAGACAGTTTGATCAAAACTAATCTGCCGTCAGCTTCACTTTTTGAAGTACACATAACACTCGGATGTAAATCCGAGGTTTCCGCATTTATTTTTTATTCAATCACTAATTATAAACCTTGGTGGATTTTTCTTTGTATCACTATAGTAGACGTGATATTTTTCTTCTAATACAATCCAACTTTAATAGGGCGAATCCGTCGGTGACTTTCTTGAATTGTTTCATTTGAAATGCAAAAAAAAAATTCCGAACATCAATTGGCAAAATTTCACAGCTGGATATAACAAAAGTCGATGCAATCTCGTTTTGTAGAAAAAGTTTTAGATGGAAGACATAGGTTTAAATTAAGGTTGTACAAAGTATTGAATGAAACTATTTTCAATTGGAAAGAATACCATGATTAGGCGAGAAGAATCATTAATGTAATTTTTACCAAAATTTTTAGCTGCACCGAGGAATAAAGTGGGCAAAAAGCAAACAATTTTATAGCGAAATGAATTTTCTATCGAACTGTATCAAGTTAAAAATGTTCCTTTATTCACTACGCCATAGTCACTTGCCTTTTTTGAGGAGAACGTCTACAAATTTCAAACAAAAAAAACAAACTTTTTGCGTGGGCTGCTCGAAATTGATTCCCATATGTATTAAGATACAAAATAAGCAATCGATCGATAACTAAACAGTTAGATAGAGTAATTAATACTCTGCCGAATCGTATAGAACGTAAATATTTCTGATGTTTCGTAGAAATGCAGCACACCAAAAAAAAACGAGAGTATCATGCTGGACAAAGCTGATTTCTCTTAGCAAGTTCGCTCAGAACAAATACGTATTAATGTACTCGCAAATAAATATTCTATTCCCAAAAAGAACAGATTTTATTTATACATCTAAAGATGTTGATGTTTCCAGCACAAAACTGTCGTCTAACGACAGCATATATAGATTTTTACATGAATTCAACTCGAAAATCGCAGCCCTGAAGGCATCCGATTACGTTATTCCACATCAGTTTATCAATCTTATCAAGAATTAGTTATTTAATCCGTGTATAGTGTTATTTCTTTTCGCAAGTAAAATTTGAGGGTTACAATTACAAGCGCAACAGAAATGAGATATTCTGAAGTTTTTCTTTTCATTTATCAAGTAATATGATATTGTAACGGAAAATATTTAGGTCGCGTAAAAATTCTTCAAATAACTGTCGAGATATATAGAATTGCGTATATATCCTGATAGGATGATGGGCAACAAAGTGTGGATCAGTATCAACTATATATTTTACCCACTGTGTGTATAATATTGACAACAATTCCACACAATAAGTTTATTCTTGTCAAAAATGACCCAGGTCGATCATCCTGAGTCATAAACGGCTGCATACCTATCACTCACGGCGACAAACGGCGACCGTACTATGTAGTCGTTTACTGTTATCGTAAACGAAGTGTTACGATGAAATACGGTAGTCGTAAATGAGAGCCGTGAAAAATCTCCGTAAACGACCGTCGTAACTAAACGCTAACTGTAAACGACTGTCGGATATCACAGTAAATGGTCGGAACTGATGACCGTAAATGATTCAGGAAATGTTTGCCATTTTTCTATCGTATACTTTTGTACAGGGTCGTTCACGATGACTATCTGTTCGCTTAAAGTATAGTAATTAGCATTTTTTAGAGTATAGTTTACACAATGTATCGCAGTGAAAAGTATTAAGTGGTCATCGTGTAGGTGAATTTAGCATCGTATTCGAGTAATATCGCGTGTTTCCATACAGGGTACGTTGATTTTCAGGCGGCTTTTCTGTCGGTTTCTGCAGCATCGGGTGGGCGGAACGATCGACCAGGGCTATAGCAATCTGATGGTTCTCGATGCAGAACGAGAAGAAGAAAATCGCGGAAATCTTTAATCCGTTTCCGACATTGGTATCCGAAAATTTTTTTATTTGGTTCCTTGGTTTCCGAGACCTCGGAAACCGTGTTTGAGAAACCCTTGAAGGGTTTCCGATTTTGTTACTGTTGCAAACCTATTTTGAGAGTCCTAGAATACCCTTTTTTTAGAGAGTGGTCAAACAGCATTCGAAAGAATTATTTTAAGACAATATTCATGCTTATTAGCGCAAGTTGTTTAACAGTGAGTGCGATTAATCGAGAAACTAGACCTAATAAAGGTAGTACGTAGAGTTTTTTCTACATATTTTTACAAAGTATCATTGATAGACGAGTCAAACTGGTTTAGACAAACGTAGTTTTCAGTACTTAATTTTGATAAGAGTTACGTGATGTGTTGATAAATGGAATCTTGTGAATGTGCGAACGACCAATTAATTCTAAGGAAATCAGCTTATGAAAACTTAAGACATTTAAACGTTGTGATTCTACTTAACAATAATTCAAATTTTTTCTTGAAATTAAAACAGCAAAATTTTAATTTTTGGTTCACCATTCTTATTTAAAATAATCATTAATATGATTAACTTAAAATGTTAAAGTACTTACCAGCGAAAATAAAGCATGAAGATTGCCATAAAAACTAATCAATCTTAATAGAAAAGATATTATATACCCAAAGATTATATAATAACTGTATCTTTTATTTTTTAGGGCTGGCCACCTGGCATTTTAGGCATTTACTCGTGCTTTTAATCAGCTAAATGCTGATTTGTGCAATAAATTGGAACGAAGGTTATTCGAACGTATCTTCATCACATATGCGTTGGTTGAATATCAACTATTTATGGGTAGTGAGCAACCGTTTAAGAATCAATGCAGTACATTTTTGACCCCGTAATATATGGACTCAATTAGACTCGTTCATTATGTTGTATTATGATCAATTTTACAAACTTTCGTCGACTTTTGGGCATTGCACAACTCGTTGTATCCTTGCAAATCAAAATCTCAAAGTAATGAAACTGATGACAATAGTGAGTGTTCGGCTGCAATTGTATGTGATGGGTATATGAAAATAAGAAGAAAGTTATGTGCTAATTCGAATGTTCCATTAAAATTACCAATCCATTTCAATCCATTGTTTAAAGAATTATTCGTTGGTTGTAATCATACACCTCAGGTTCATGGACGATTATGTACTGAATGCAAAGATCAAGAAGTGTTAGTATCGGGAGTACAACGATACACGAAAAAACAAGAAGAAAATGCCAGACGTAGATTAAAAACTTTACAGAAAACATTAACAAATGATATGGGATCTGTGAGTCAAAACAAAATGTCTTCTTTGTAGCCTAATGTTTTTCATGAGTCAGAGTTGAAATAACAAAGAATATTATTCTGGATCTGATTATATAGACAAATATAAAAAAGAGAAAAAAAAATTTTTCATGATTATTGCAGAGCTAACTACTTTCACAAACCATTTTACGTCTTGAGAAACAAACTGTATAATACTAATAGACTTAGTGAAAGACATTAGTTTATCAAGTGTAACTACAGAAAAGCATTTTTTATCTATATACATTTGGTTAAAAATTTAAAGCATATTGTTTTTATTTTATTCTGATGTAAAAATGAATGGTGTATCGTGAAGTCTAGAAAGAGTATAAAATGCACAAAAAAGTCAACAAACATTAAAAATCTTATCCCACCTATGCTATTTTTTAGTTCGAAAGTGAATCATACACTCTCTGTTCATTTAATATTTTTTTTCGAATGAAAACTTACCTATGTATTTCTAGTTATCTTGCAATGTACACAAAGAAGATACTTTAATCGATGCATCAATACGTGCTTGCGGCATATTGGTTATTGCTACAAGTTGTCAGGTGATAATTGCTTTTGAAGAAATCTTGAGATCTAAATCAAAAAAACAAGTGTTACAAGCGTTACGAAACGTATACACTATCACTCCGATGTTGATAAGAATCATTATTTACGATACTGCTTGTCTACTAGCAAAGTATGTACGCTCAAATTTTGACAATGAATCAAAAAGAAACGAATTCAATAATACAATTGGAATGAAAATTTTAAAAGAAGTTCGTTTTTTCGTCGATCGTTTTCATGTAACAAATCATGTTGATGTAATTATATATTCTTCATTATAAATTTTGTTTGATCTTGCTTATTTTTTATTTATTTTTAGAAATATTGTCACGAGCATTTAAACTTAGATATACACGATTCATTACGAAATATAAATAGTAGTTAGTTCATGTGAACAAATAAACTCATGAGTCAAATAATACTCTCACATGCTATCCAATATGAACGAATCACGTTTTCAGCTACACTGTTGATCTTATTTCATTTAAGGAATTATTCTCACACTGGAATATTCAATTTTTGGACGAATGTCAAGCAAACGTTGGTAAAAAATTATTTTATATGTATTTCTATTTAAAATTTTAAAATTTTTATACATTTAGATGAATCGAAATTCTAAGCAGTCGATAAAATCTACAACTGTAACAACAGATAAGAACTTATGTGGCAAAAAAATGTGGAATCGATTCATGTGATAGATGTTCAAATGATCTGCATGATTCCAACACAGAAAACGATATTTATTCTGAAGATAGCCTGATGGATATCGAATAAAGTCAATGGTGATAAATAAATAGGATAAATAGTACAGTGCTGAATAAGAATTACATCTATATTATATTTTGTTGTGCAATAGCGAGTATTTGACTGAAATTTGTATCTGATTTGAATCACCCAAGGAGTAATTCATCGAATATCTTTCATCGAGAATATTTATAGACTGCTTATCCGACACAAATGGCTACGAAAATAAAAGCGTTGCTAATTTTCATTTCGAGAACTTTTAGCAAAACTTTTTCAGAAGAACATTTTAAAGAGGCAAATATTAAATAAGATAAACACTTATGCTTTTGTGTCATTATTACTTCCAAAAGTTATGATTATCACAATCTAAATTAAAAAGAGGTCATTCTCATATAACTCGATGTCACATGTTCGTCTTTTTTCTTGTTTTTTAAGCTTTTTGTCAGTTATATTACGGATGAGATCAATTTTGCATAATATTATTACTATCAAGTAGGATATAAGTCTAATAGCTCAGTTATAGTTTTAATTTAACATAAAAAGAGCGTGGTATATACATTTCTTTAAACCTTGTACACCGAAAGAGAGCAGAAACGAAAATCGTACCAGGTAAAGCGAATTTCGGAATACAACAAATAGAACTGTTCTTCAAATAAATTCCTGATACAAGATAACAGCGGGTATTCAGGTTACTTGCGAATTTTATTGATAAGACATTACAACATCATTAGACTAGGATATTTAAAAATATTAATACGTATTTTAAATGACTCATTCAACTCTGAAGATCTAATATAATTTAGTCGTAGGCAATATTTACATATCTTTATTATGATAGCTGAGCATTTTTTATGAGAGAATCTCCGCTACAAATTCCAATATCCATTTAATAAAGAACATGATGAAGGTGTTTGAATACATTTTCAAATCTATCATGAATAAAAACAAGAGAAAATCTAATAATTTTAAAATATATATACGTACGAAATATGATCGAAAAGACAAACACAAGTGAACTGTCATATGAACTGTATATTTCAAATGATCAATAGATACAGAAAAATATAGATGTATAGCGTGATCATTGTTAGATAGGGTGTGAGTGTTGCATCTTTCTACGTCCGCTTTGGGTCCACACCCACACCCTGTTGTGAGAGCATTGCTCTTCGACCTCGTAATGATACCCATCTACAATAAGATGACAGTTATACATTGAGAAAAATATACAAAAGGTTGGTTCGATAACGATGTGTTTCTAACACCAATAATTAGCATAGACTTATTCGTCTTTCAGCAGCGAAGCATTCATAGAATAATGAATACATATACACGTTCTTTCCTTGCCAAGAACAAAAGTTGCTTATGATCAATTTATAATTCACCAAATCAAGTCTTTACGCTAAGCAAGTCATCGTTCCAACCAATCATGTTCAAGAGACTAGTCTATATAAAACAGAGAAGTTTTTAGCTTTACGTCTCATTCCGATTATTTATCCGTAAGTTCTATCGCTCACGCCTGAACTCTAAACTATTAAAAAAAATCTAAATGACTGTACAAAAAGAGATCGCTACACTTAACGACTTAAAATATACTATATTAATAAATTGTTTTCTATACTGAAAAACATACACCAAAATTCATTTCAAACATGAGTTATTTTTTGTTCCGAACATTCGTCATATTATGTTTCGAACACCCTGCATATTTTCATTCCGAACATTCGTCATATTATGTTTCGAACACCCTGCATATTTTCATTCCGAACATTCGAAAAAACGATTTTATGTTCTATATCCTCTGCCGGACATCAGGTCGAATAGCCGGATGTCCGGAAGAGCAAGGATGAAAAAGCACAAACCAATATAAGCTTTGAATGTGAATTTTATTTGTTATAGAATAAGTGGCAAAGTGTGAGCAGAAGAAAAAGCTACGAATATATTAGTTTCACAATTGAATAATACACTGGTTTCCAGTTATTACTTGAAAAGTGTTTTAATAATCGACGTTGTCATTTGACTTCCACCAGCCAATACGTGTACTGATTCAGGTATTGCCGTACCAAGTATTCCACTACCATCTCGATCGAAAGTATTTACTATATTGAACGCTACAGTCGGCGCAATATAGATCAATTCCCTAATTGCGTCTTGTTTAACGCTCAAATCTAAATGTGAAAATCTCAGAGTTGCCATAATCACTGGACGACAAACTCTTAAAATCAATGCATGTGTTTCATTTGTACACTTTTCCAGTGTTAACTTTGTACGATATAAATCTTTCAATTGCGGACAAATATCATTGAGAATATTTTCTAGTTCACAGATATACTGATGATAGAAATGTTTTGCAAGAGTGTCTGATGTTTGATCAACAATTTTTTCCAGTTCAATACTTAGCTTTTCACGTACAGAATTATCCGTTGGATGTGCATTCAACTGAAGTTTTGTGAAGCCATGTGCTTCAAACATCAGTTGTTCAATTTGATGTGTACATTTAAGAAAATCTTTGGTAAGGTCGAGAAACAAATCATGAAATTTTCTTTTAGCATCATCGATAAATTTTGTACGTTCTTTGGTGACGATTATTGCATGCCAGTAGTTTGCTTTGGCGAAGACAGGCTGAAAGATATTTTCGTAGTAAACTTGATCCCAATTTGCCTTATTTTGCTGTTTAATAAACTCATCAATTGGCATCATAGACGGATTCTGTGGCAAGAGCTCTTTTTCTTTGATTTTGGCAAGCCGTTCCAACACATATCGACCCAATCGCGTTCTTCCTAAATCAACCAGCTGTCTCAAATGTGTTTTCGGTAGTTCATATTCAATAAATCTATTGAGACCTTCTTTACTTCGTTCAAATCCTTGTTCCAAATCATCACCGAAACTGTGTAGTTTACTAGCGATAACACGAAATTCCTCCGTATTTTCATCCAAAATTTGTATACGCGCACAGGCAGCATAAATATGTTCTGGTTTAAAATATTTATACTTGAGTTCAGTAGACGCTTTTTCATAGTGTTCTTGATACTTTGCTAGAGTTTGACAGAGGTCAAGTTTGGTGATGATACCGAATGCGCGTTGCATTGCTTCAAAATGATTTTTTTGAATTGCGTTGAGAAGACGAATCTGTGGTTCAGTCAGACTTGGCTGTTGACCGTTAGTAAGAAAGAGAAAAGCGTCAGCTGATTTTATCGCTTGTAGACCGGCATCACGATGTTCTTTGATTGGGGAATCAAAACCAGGAACGTCGAGGAGTTCGTAGTTTTTACCTGTTAAATATCAAAAAGAAAGCAGCAAGTTAGCCAGAAGCAAAACTTGTCTGGTCTCGTGCATTTCTAGATTAGCAAAATTGAATGGGCTATCAAGCACTATAAATTTAGGCATGAATTCGCTTTAGGCGTTTTAATCAGGTAAACCGTGGTTAAACATGGCTGTCTCGACGCTGCCCGGGTCGTCTTGAGGATGCCTAGGAGATTTCACTACATACCTGGCAGTTTATCCGTGTAAATTGTAATTTCTTTTATAATATTAACATACAATTCTCCAGTTATATAATCATGTAAACGTTTAATAATATCCGTACGTTCTCTCTCTACACCACTTTGACCATGGATATGAAAATGTTCTTCTGGAAACTTTGCTTTCAAAACTTCTCGTTCTTGAACCACTTGTTCTTTACGTTGTTGCAATTGTTGTTGATTTTCATCTGTTTTCTCTGTCATTTTATCAAAGAATACACGAAATTCCTGATCATCATAGAACTTGACTGTGGCAAACAGCTGTTGATTACCACCTTCAAGAGGTGGTTTGAGGACGGTCCGTATTTGTGTACAACGTTCAACCGCCGCTGGCAGGAGTTCAAAGCCGAGAAGTGCATTAATAAATGTTGATTTCCCCGCCTTTTCTAAGCCGACAATACAGATTGTATGTGATTGTTTGTTATTCAGTTCTTTCAGTTTCAATAAATTCGTCTTTATATCACTGATAGAATTATCATCACCAACGGTTTGGGTTTCTTTATCAACAAATTGCAAACATTGTAAAATTTTTGAATAATGTTCAGCTAATATGTTAACTTTTTCTTTCATTTCATCTGTTTCACCATCATCAGTTTTCCGTAAATAACTACTCAGCTCGTCAAATGCTTCACATGAGAATAGGGTATCGCGTGCTTTTTCAAGTTCCTTGTATACGGCATCGATTTTACGTATTCGATCATTGTTATCATATATAATATTGGTTAGTTCTTGATTTTCCCATTTTTCATATAATGTATGTTTGAACTGATCACGTTGTTGGAAGAATTCATCAAGGAGTTGTTGGAGCCAACGATCGACTATGAATTAGAGAAACGAACGAGATGAATACGCAACTAACAATTAACTCACCAAGATGCAACATTTCGAGTGGTTCAACTGCATAGTTTGCAATAATATTTCTTGCTTCCAGCTTATCAGCTTCAATTTGAGTCGCTGCTGTGATGGCCGATTGTGCTCCTTGTTCATATGCCGCTTGCAGTGCAGATGGGTGCAGCGTTGAGAAAGAAACAGTTGGTTTTGGATGTCGTGTTGAAGCCGAAAGTGTTGACGACGATGATGAGTTTGGAGTCGTAGCAGCATTTTGGTGTCTATAGAGACCAGTAAATATGCCTGACGTGTCAGATGGCGGTGTTTCTGATGCCGTCGTCGTTGATTGCGGGAGCGCAGTAGCTACTTCCCCATTTGCTCCTCCATAGTTTGATGGTATAGGTGAAGGTATGTGGTTTCTTACTTGTGGTATATATGAAGTAAAAACTCCAGTAGGAACTGAAGGCGGAGTGTTTTCTGGCCGGTGTTTGTCTTTCTTGAACATATTATTTCTAAAAGATTTAAAAACCATTACTGTTTTAGGGTATGTGAGCTATCGAAAGAAATTGACATTCAAAAAGATAGGAATTTTATATACCATCAGTGTTAGTTTCTCATTTTGTATGAACACCTACCTTTTTTGCGCTTCTTTTCATACTGAAGAAAAAGCAGTTATTCTTGCGTGCCACTCGCCCTTATATGTACCTTTATTAATAAAAAAAAAGAGTCCATAAAAAAGCAGAAACTGGCATATTGATATTCCTTATAAGGCACGCAAAAGAGACTTTCTAAATCAAAAAGAAAGAGAGAACTGAAAGAAAAAAAGCTGAGGCATTTTTAGAGCGAGTAGGTTTAAAAGATAAAAGAGATTAAATGCTACCGTAAAAATCATCTGTTGACAATCCTGACGATATTGATATTTGCGATTGGAAAAATAGCAGTCATTTCCTCATTGTGACTCATTTTTGTCATTCTGCCAGTCCAACAAAAGTGACTCACAGTGAGTAAGAGACACAGGGTTGTAGCGCCTTCTGCTTTATGTGCTGAGTTGCACCCCTGGGTACCTGCTATTTTCCCCATGTCTAATACAGTATTACGACAGTAACCTATGACAATACTACTTTAAAAGTAAATAGGGACAAAAAAGTGAACTACAATTACTCGTCAAATTGAAATGAAAACAAGAAATATAAAGCAAATAGTTGGTGGTTTTCCTCGCTCTGTGTGGTCAAGTATAATGACTCACATCTTTCGGTGTACAGAATGGTTAGAAGAGCTTTTTGTTGATGTCATAAAAGCAAAGAGAATAACCGTCTGTGTGAGCAGAAACGCCAGCGCTCCCTTTGATGCAAAGGATTCACTGGCAGGGCTCCGCAAAACAGGGATCTTTTGTCACTGGACCATTCTAGATTCAGAAGGGCATCTGTATCTTTACAGTTCTCTTGTACCGATCAATAGCTACAGGCTATGCATTGCATTGAGACAACCAATCTCACCTTGAACCTTATCGTTGTCAGTCTATCAGGCAGGAGCCTTCGACATGTCTGTGATGTACTGTTCGGGGTGGAGTGAGTCCAAGTGTCTCGCTAAATACTTCAACGTTCATTTTCCATCGTGTTTGATAGCATCTTGGCAAAGGTAGGCAACATACTGCCCTTTCCTCCACCGGCGGAGCTGCTTGCTGCTGTTTGTTGCTGATGCATGGTGCGATTCGTTGTTGAATAAACAGGTGAGAACAATGAATGCTGCTGAGAGAAGGAGCAGATTTGGTTTTGTTTATGCTGCGTGCTGTTTCTTTTCAGCGATTTTTAAATCTTTTTTTCTTTACTCAAGGACTGCTTCTTGTTTCTATTGAGAGTGTTGTTAAGCAAAACAAGTGTGAGAGAGCAGAAGAAGAAGAAATAATATGGAACAAACAAAAAGCAGGAAATTGTGCGAAATCATGTCTTTTCTTGCCAAGTTTCTTCAACGCACGCATGTGCACGCTGCGTAAATGTGTGTTGAATGAATTGAGAAAACAAAACAACTGTGAAAGAAGTCGGGTCGTTCATTCTCAATCTTTTTCTCATCGAATCTCTTCAAGAGTTTCTCTCTTTCGCGAGTGTGTATTCTTTGCAACTTTTCTTCGGGCATGCATGCCATTGCGATCAGCCAGTAGAAGAAAAAAAAACGTAGACTTGGTGGTTGAGAAAGAAGCTTGAACAAAAATGCTTTTAAGTCAACGAAACAACTGATATGGCGCGCCAATGATCTGTTCAGACATTACAAAATTATCGACTTTTGGTCGTGGGTCATTTTCAAGATAAACACCTACTATGATTTGAAACTTGACAGCGCAAAGAAATAATTTTTTCAGCCCCTTGCTTCAAAAATTCAGAGAAACCCTATTGCCTAGCCAATAAAAATAACCGAAAAAGTAATTTCAAAATTTTGGACTTCAAGCTTTAAGTATAGTCGACGGGCGCCGATATAAAATTGCGTAAAAAAGTTCCGGTCACTATATCATGTCCACCGTGATATATCGATGTCACAAGTTTGCCCGTACAGCCCTTTTTGACTTTTTGACAATTTTTTAAAATTTCAACATAGAAACGCCAAATTGCGAACACGACACCGCGACAACGATATAAGAGTAGGCGGAAGGTTTCAGCTCTGAATCTCTCGCTTAGAGGTCTGCGGTTCCAGAAATTACCCGGAACCGCGGTTCCGATTCCGGCTCTTAAGCATGAGAAATAAGCGGTTCTGGTCGGTTCCGAAAATATTTGTTGGAACCTTGGAACCGTTCATTTATCAGATATATGAAGAGACATTTTAGTAATTTAAATTTTTATAATTGTTGGCATTAAAAGTACTAGATATTTATTGAGAAAACATATTTTTTCAAAACATACTAGAGAAAATAGAACGAAAAAAAAACTATTTACAACATAACGCGTTCAATATATACTTATTTAAATACAAAAAAAAATCTGAAAATACTCAACATTATCATTTTCTTTATCTGCTCCATCTTCGTTAGGAAAAAAAGAGGATTAGACAAATACTTGATCGGTGGCATAAATGCTCGTTTCAACCGGAAAAAGGACGTTCAGGTCAAAAATGCTTAAAAACTAGACTTACGATACACACACTAAACAAAAAAACAGTAACGAAAATATCCCGTTCCCTCAATACCGTCAAACCACCGTAAACATGAATTTGTAGCAGAAAAATGTAAAACTCAGTGGGAAAAATAGTTTAGATAAATGAAACATTATTTTTTCTATAGAGAAAAATGCGTTGGTATGTAATCGAAATGAACGTGCAGGTATTCGGGATAGGAGAAAAAGGAGTTTGCACGGTACTAAGGATGCTGGGAAAATTTACAGTTAATTAGATTTTGGCTGATTTTGGTTAAAACAACGATGGGTAAATTTTGCATGAAGGTGGGATGCCGAAAATCATTTACGATATAAGCGAAAGCTTTCATAGTTTGGTGGTGATGCATGGCGAATGTCGAAGAGCGGATAAGAAATTTGGTTTCAATGAATCGTTGGGAAAGAAGGAACGTGAAGAATGAAAATGAAAATGAAAACTACTCATATTTGGTGTTTGTAAAGTTCTGCATAGCATGGAATATGTTGTATAAGCACGGATTTCTTTTCTGAACAGCGACGACAAAAGTACTCGATGTGAATTTAGTATACACACACTGACTTATACTTATATAGTTTGTCTTCTGTTATACTCTCTAAAAAAAAGGGTATTCTAGGACTCTCAAAATAGGTTTGCAACAGTAACAAAATCGGAAACCCTTCAAGGGTTTCCCAGACACGGTTACCGAGACCTCGAAAACCGAGGCACCAAATAAAATTTTCCTTCGGATACCAATGTCGGAAACGGATTATAGATTACCGAGATTTTCTTCTTCTCGTTCTGCATCGAGAACCACCAGATTGCTATAACCCGGATCAATCGTTCCGCCCACCGGATGCTGCAGAAACCGACAGAAAAGCCGCCTGAAAATCAACGTACCCTGTATGGAAACATACGATATCGCTGAAACATGGAAGCAGTATCCCGCCCGCAAAGTTTTTCATGTTTTTTCTCATGATTTCCGGTGCATCTTGCCTAAAAACACAGCAAGTTGGTTGGGAAATCATCAAAACAAATTCAGATAGTTTGCGGCCGGAACACTGCTACCATGTTTTAATGATATCATCTGTTTTTCTACAGGACACAGTGGTATTCAGGCATCTTTACTGTCAGTGTCTCCAGGATCCGGTGAAAAGAACGATCGACAAGGGATGTTGGATCTAAAAAGAAATAACATATTTCATCAGCTTTTAACTATTAAAATCGAACTCACCATTAACATTTACTCATCTAACAATCGATCTAAACTGAAACAAAACAAGTAACCATCGCCACTCGACTCACTGAACCCACAAATGCACAACGCAGACGCAGACGCATTTTCTGTAGATACGGATACAGATAGGACCATTATATAAATTTTGTCCCTCAATAGCAATAGAAATTTCAGCCTAATTCTAAATCTAAACGAAATCAAACCATCGATGCCCACATCATCTTCAATTGTTAAACTCCTCTGATGCAGAAAAATATTACCAGATTATGAGATGATAATATATACTCAGCCAATCTATACCCGAATCCTTAGAAAAAAAATTTCAATATAAGGATAACAAGTCTCATTTCCGATCAGTCCAATTTCTGATGGATGGAAACTAGAATCAAAAGGATGATGACGAATTCCGATACCTGGACGTCGATAACCTATTTTAAACTTTCATCGGAATTGAGAACAGAGCTAAAATAAAATGTCGAACTCTGTAGTCTGTGGAATGTGGATCGGTCCAGGCTGATCGGAGAAAATGTCGCTCTGAGATATTTTGAACTTGGATCATGTTCTGTTTTCTGAAATATTCAACATTTTTAGAAGTATGAAAATCTTTTACAAATTGAGAAAAACGCGGAAGCCGATTTTGATTTTCCAGAATATTTTTTGAACATTCAGTAGGCTTGGAAACCGAAAGGGTTTGTGAATAATGGGTTCGGAAACCAAAAATATATTGTCGCTTACCCATTCGAATACCAAGTCAGTTTTTCTGGCAATATTAGTTTCCTAGAATACCCTAAGGGTTTCTGAGAATGCGGTTTAGTTTCAAGCAGTAAGAAAAAGGTTTTGTAGAATACTTTAAGGGCATCAAAATCGGTATTGTGGGAAACGTGAGTGTTTTCGAGGTTTCGGAAACCAAGAGCGTATTTTTGAAAACGCTTGAAGTTCTTCGAAACCCTCTCGGAAACGGTTTCAGGTTTCAGAGATGGTTTCCGAATCGGTTTGGGTTTTGTAGGAAACGGTTTTTTTTAGAGAGCACATTTAGGGTATAGCCCGAAAGATCTGTTGGAAGTATGATTTCTGTAATTTTCGGTGTGGCTTGGAGTAGGCTTTTTGGTTGCTTGCATTTTGAGTGTGATTTCTATGGAGATGTGGTAGAATTGATGTCTATAGTGTGCTCATTATCGATCGGAGGAGTTTATGAATGTATTTTTTTGTTTTTGTTCAGAATTACGGTCGTATATGTTGCAGTGCTTGGTCGTTTCTTGTTTATGATGCGGCCGTATCTAGTCGTCGTAATGCTAGACCTGGGGAGTTCTGTGTGTTGTCTTTCAATACAACCGAATACAATCGTACGTATTACAAAGCACAACTTTCTGCTAACCTGACTTGTTTAGAACTGAACTCGACTCAGCTGCCTTTCTACTGCTCTAATACTACTGCTATTATACTGCTGTTATACTGCTCTCTATTTCATATATAACGCGCGTTTATATACTAGAGAGAGAATAAGGAAAATATAAATAGGAGAGAGAGAAGAAGATACATAGAGACAAAAGTTATTGAGAGAGAAGGAGATACGAAGAAAGAAAAAGATATCTAGAGAGAAAAGATACACAGAAAGATTACGTACTGTTCAGTGGACGATTATGTGTTGTCATATGCAAGGATGAATATTAGAGATGTAAACTTAATTACGTAACTGCAGTATGTTCATTAGCTCTATGACTTAGAAGGACGTACGTCTTGGCACAGGTATATACACTAATTATACACAATTCAATCTACTGATATGATAAGCATATTGTTATTTCTGACGAGAATATCATTTCAAATCAAATAGAATCACTCGGATATTTTCCGTGATGTAAAACAACCTTTAATTGCGAGACCAACAAGAATAATAGTTTGTTTTTCCTTGGAAACTATAGCATAAGAAAAGTAGTGCTTTTTTTTAGTAGAAATTATTTGAATGATGCTGCCTATTTTTTATGCCATCAAATTCAATTAAAATTATAAATCAGTTTTCATGATTAAGAAGAATAGCGACGAAGTTTTAGAAACACATTAGCAGCCTTAAAGAAAAATAACATAAAATCAATGGAATCGTAATGAGGAGTTCTGAAGTTAGATTATACGTTAAATTTCAAAAGCTTTTATTCTTCAAAACCAACCGAATATTGTGTTTTACCAGAGAGACCTTGTATCTTAATCCATGCTTTATATAATTCATTTTCTAAGGTTGTTGTAAACGGAATTTTAATATCTGTATAATAATAATTAACCGGTTTCTTAGATTTTAATTGTCCAATTTCATTTGCTAAATAATTCATTATTTTTGATTTACTGTGTTCACTTATTTTTTCATTTAAAGCAAATTGTGTAAAAACTTTTAATACTTCATAAGCTTTAATCGCACTTTCATTTTTCAAAGATTCCAATAAACCATCAAGATAATCATTTGGTGATAAATTAATAAGAGGAATTCCAATCACCGAATATTCTTTTACGAGATTTTCATCCAGTAATGCATTCATAGCATTTATAATCACTCTATGATCACTATGATCTATTGCTGCAAGTAATATAAAAGCGTTACCTCGTGCTGAAAAAAATGGATGATAGTTGAGCATTTTTTCTAAAAGTTTAATCATTTGAATTTTATTAAAATTTGAAGAATTCGTTATTCTTCGATACGTATAATCTTCTTTTTGAGCACAGGCGGAAACCAGTGATAATAAACAATCACATACTACCATAGAAAACCATGTATAATCGAAAACGCGAAAAATTGCCATATTTTGAATCAACCATTGAATTAAACTTTCCATAATAACCATATTTATCGAAACTAAACTTAATGCATTTAGTATTGTTTGATTTGAATCTTTCGAACCATAAAAACTACATCGACCGATATGTTTTATTCGTTGATAATGACTCTGTAAAATATTCTCAATTCTAACGGATGTATCATGAATTAATTTTGATTCAAACAGTTCAAAATATGTTTCATCATTGCTAATTGGCAAGGTACAAATTTGATGAATAATAAATTCTACTATTTCGACATCTGTACATATGAAGAATATTTTTTCTTGAAATTGACTGATGTCAGTAGCTGAAAGTACTCGTGCAAAGGCAGCCCATTGTTCTTCTGTAATTTGATCACGTTGTGTTAATGACATGACTGATTGAAATAATTCTTCGACGTATGCTGGATGATGTGAAGATTGTAATGATTCCATGAGTGCATTCCATGTATGAGTATTGATGAATTTAATTTTATCAAAAAAGAACTTTTTTCTTCCATGAGAAGAATTTGTTGCTTTCAATTTTTCTATAGATTTATGTAGATTTTGAAACACAATCGGATCATCCCATAGTAAGTCAAAGAAAAAACTGTTGAGATAGGCTCGAACGCGTGGAAGATGCTCTCTGCATAATCTGTTTTGAAGAATTTTCATCAAGGTTTTTTCTCCTATGACAGATATTCTCTTCACAGGTTCTTTGACATCGCGTTCTGGATGTTGAAAAATTCGTTGAGCTCTATATCTCATCTGATCATTATCACTTTTGATTAATTCAATAATCGTATCGAGGAACGGTTCAAACACATGTTTTGCTTCAGAAAGTAAAAGTGCTGCTAACTTTTTGATTTCAGTGCTATTCGAATTAGTAAACCATCGATGAACAATTGGTAATACTTCGTTTGATGGCTTTATTATATATGGAAATAAAATTGATATGTTATCTTCTTTTCCGTTTTGTACTAATTCATCAATAATAATGGCTGCTTGAGGTGTTAACAGTAATTCTGTATCTAATGCGATTTTCAGTACTTTTTCAATAGTTGTTTGGTCATTGGGATCGTTATAAAGTTCGATCCATAGTTGATTCAAGTTTTCTGTTTTGCCTATGGAGGATTTAATATCACTCAATTGAGCATAGAGCAGAAATAAAGCTTGAATTTCATTATTATTAGAAGTATCATTAGTTTCTGCGACGTCCGAAATCGACAATTTTGAATTTGAACTATCGAAGTTTAACTGTTCAGTAAATAATATTCGCCCGTAATAAGAATTAATGAAGTAAGAATGAATTTTATTTTGTAGAGATTCTATTATATCATCAAGTTTATTTTGAAGATCCTCGTAAATACTTACTAGAGATTTTAATTTAATAATGAATTTGATTTTATCATCGTTTTCATTCATTCTACTCAGTGTTTCTACAGCAATCGTTAAATATTTTTTTCGAAATTCTCTCGACCCGTAAAAGGATAATCTTACCGATGCGATAATTCGATCATTGAGATCTTCAATAGTGTCAAATGTTAATATTAACTCGGCGACTATTTGCTGAATAAACAATTTCTGTTCTATATCCTTACAGTGAACAATATTGAAGATTTTTTCCAAAACTTGAAATTTTAAAGTTGGGTCCTGAACGTCGTTTATTAATGTAAATGATTGATTTAATAATTCAAAACTTTTCTCATCATAAAACTCGGCTAGTTGATATAATGCTCTGGATTTATAGTAAGGATTTGACATTAATTGTATTTTAGAAAATAAAAATTCTTTGATATTGACTTGATCAACTAATTCGGGCAGTAGTTTTTTATAGATTATAAACCTTTCCGTGTCGTCTGACATAATCCCAAAGTGTAACAATATAACTAATGGAATTAATTCTTGATTTCTAGTAAAATACCCTTCTTTAATGAAGATTTCAGAAACAGTTTTCAACAAGGATGATACATTGGCATTGACATTCTCTAAACAATTGAAGAGCGCTATGGGTATATCATCCTCATTACTTGATGGAAAATAAAATATATCGATAGGCCATGAATATGCACGAACGGGTCTATAGAGTTGAACTGCATCACCAATTTTTAAAAATGATTTCATAATTTGATCAGTTTTTCCCGAATCTTTTAAGCTAGCTGATAGAACAGCAATATTATATTGAAAATCATCCAGAAAACCAGTACAATTGAAGGCGAAATATTCTGCGTAGAGACTATATTTATTTTCATTATCATCCATAACTTCTGCTAACTTCGTAGTGTCAATCGGTAGTCCGCCGCTATTTGCTATTATTGACAAATATATTTTGCAATAATCAGAAAATTTGAGATTTGAATTTTTCTCGTTTTCTTTTATGCCATCATAAATTTCAAGTAAATATTTCGTAATATATGAAGACGATCTTGCAATGGGATCTTTGAGAATACAGATTATTTGTTCGATTCTGTTTCCGAAACTTTTGACCACTGTTTTTTCTTCTTTTAAAATATTATTAACGAAATCAAACTCTCCTAAGGCAATTAATGCGAGTAATGCTTCTGTTTTTTCGCTTGTATTTAAGTTTTGATTGTTCATTTGTTTTCGTAAGTATTCTATTAGCTCTGTTGTAGATTTTTTGTTTTTCAGTAGTTCAAATAATGTGTCGGTTAGAAATGATTCTTTGTAAATGTCATTCTTATCAAATATTGGACTTTCCTTCCAGTGTTCTTTCTTTAATGCTGTATCAACATGCACTGCCATCGTATAGACAGGATCATCTCTGCCCCAAATTTCTTGATAATATAAGACAAATGGCGCTCGTTGATTTTCACTTAAACTTAGATATTGACGTATTTCATTGTACTCTGAAATAATTGTTGGAGTATTATAATTTTTGTATCCTCCATAAAGAGCAACAATTAAACATAGCCAATCTTTGTTTGTCGTGATATGATGAATGATTTCGGGATTTTCCATTAGTGCATTTTTGAATTTTAATTGAGTTAAAACTGCTTCAGCATTTATTTTATTTGAATAAAAATGTAAGATTGAATCGATTGGCCAATTCCAAATGATAGAATCATTGTGCAGATTCTTGAGGAATATTTCGTGAAATATTGAATTGTACCATTTCAACTGGCAGATAATATTGGCACATGGAGCAACAGTTTCTTCGTGATTGATCTTTTCGATGAACCATTCGGTCATTGTTTTACTATATTTTATTTTCAATTTTAAAAAATACGAATGAATCAACTCTTGATGTTCCTTTAATCTTGAAAATCCGCACATATTGCTATAATCGAGCAATAGCATATCGGCTAATTTTCGAATCAATTTACATTCTATGTCATCTGATGAAAAATACATATCGTTCAATGAATCAACGACGACAAATGGCAGTAGAAGTGTTGAAAATCGAGTATTTGATGAAGTCTCTTCGTTTTTTAACAATTTCATAAGAATATTATTAAATAATCCATTATGTTGAGATAATTTACTTAATATTCCAAATGTCATACTCAGTGGAACTCTCCAATTCGGTATACCAATTCGACTTTTAATAATTTCGTAGATCATATCTTCAGATCGTTCACTTCCATTCAAATAGATAATACTTTTAGCTGCAAGGTATTCTTGAAATGTACGATGTATAAATCGAAAACTATTTTGACCAAATTCATTAAATAAACCTGCTTGATATTTAAAAACATCGACAAATTTTGCAACGAAATCATCAAGAGACATTAAAAGATTTTCAGATGATCGCGTCTGATAGTCGATAAGACATTTTCTTATAATTTCCTGTAGTACTTTCTCTGATAGACCTTCAACTTTGCTATGTAAATATTCAGCTATATCTTGCATTATTGACCATAGCAAAGTAGAATTCAATCCAAACGCTTTACTTACATAGTTTACGGAAGTATCAACGCAAGGATGTACCAAGCGTTCTATCATTTTTTCGATTGCTTTTTCATATAGATCGATTCTTTTTTCTGGTAGTTTATCATCGTATTGGGTATAGACTCCAGCTACGACACTAGCAAGTTGTGGATTGATGGCTAGATGAAAAATATCTTTGTTTTGTGTTATAGCATCGTATAATTGATCCATGTTGTATTCTTCAGTGCTTCTTCCTGCTTCGATAGAAATATATTTCATATATGAATTACAAAATAATTTAAGTGCGTCATTCGTCATGTCTTCGATAATTAATCGTGGAATATAAAAATTGATATTTTCAAAATAATTTCCTTCAATGCGACTTGTGATAATAAATCGATTGCCGATAAGAGGATCTTTCGTATTATTTATTTCTTTTTTTTCATAAACAGAATAGGTAAGTTTGTCATGTATAACATCGTAATCGATGCCTCGTTCTAATAATGTATTTATTTCTTTCATTAAATCGGTTCGATCGACATGTGCAGGAACTTCATCTAAGCCTTCGAAAATAACTAAAACATTTCCTTGTACCAATGCTTCTCTAATCAAACATGATAGTTGTTTTTGTTCTTCATCTGTGAAACATGCTGAACTCAAAGTAGGATTCTCGTAGATAAATTCAAGTAAAGTTCTTTTTCGTCCGACTCGATTGTCCTTTAATTGATCAACATATTTCCATATTGGAATAAGAATTGGAAGTTTTTCTTTTTCAGAAGACCTATTAGTAGCCAACATATTACTCTCATTTAAACACTGTTTAGCCATGTTCATCACCAACCATTTCGATATAGTAGTTTTGCCTGAGCCCGGATGACCTAGAATGATAAAATGTCTGAACTCAGAGTATGCTTGTGTGATTTCGTATTGTTTTGCTTCTTTAAGATTATTTTTTTCGAAGATATTTTGCTTTAATTGATTGACTTTATCTTTTATGGCAGTCGCGTCACTTGCAGTGAAAATATTTGTATTACTTAACAAAACGTTTAACCATTGATCGACCATGAAATCCCTATAGATCACTTGAGGATTATAAGTCTTTTTTTCGACGATAGCTCTATTTAATTGTCGCCTTTCGGTCTCGGTAAAAAACCCAGGCGATGAAAGTTTTCGCTCAAATTCCTCATTGATATCGAGCATTTTCATCGCTCTAATCGATAGATGTGTTGGATCGAATTTCAATTTGACATATACACTTTCTAAAGGTAAACTAACGTTACTATCAGATTGTCCAAGTATCGATACGTGTCCATATTCGTTAATAAGATAATTCAAATATTTTTTTCGAATGTTTTCTGTTTTGTTGGTTAATGATAAATTTTCACGTATGAGTGGCGTAAAAGATTTGAGATTTCGTATAAATTGTAATAAATTTTCTAAACTTCGGTCATATTGAATTTCTTTTATGTTTGCCAAACATGAAACATCTGATGTTTGCTTAAAAATTTTAGTTTTAGTTGTTGAAACAAGTTTATAGATCGATAATGGTTTATTATCTGTTAAATGAGTTATCCATTTCAATAAATTGGATAAATTTACGTCTACGATGTCGACATCAAATCCAATGAATAGCAAAGTTTTAGTTTCCAGAAGTGTTCGAAAGTTTGATTGTTCTAAATTATTATCATACATCCGACTGTAATCATCTCTACTGAAAACTATACTATCTGGTTCTTCGAAATATCCTTGTAAATGTAGAATATAATTCTGTAAAGCTTCCAACGAATTATTCACACTAAAAGTCTGATATTGATTCCAAGTTAATGGCTTTCTATCAAGTATACGTTCGAGAAGTAAGTCATAGTTAGTTGTTAAAATTGGGCATCCCAATTCTCCAATACTTTCGATCAAGTCCGATTTTTTTACAGATAATTTGCCTACTGTCTTTTCAAACCATTTGTTATAAATCTCGTTTTCTACAAGATCACTTGGAAGTTTAAGATAATATTTAATTATATCGGCAATATCCAAATAGGAGTCAACGTCTGCTGTGCCACTATCTAGTGTATTACTGAACACCTTAAATTCTTCTTCTCTCATGCATCCTGATTGTTGACATCGTCGGAGTCCATCTTTTAATAATCCGTTCCAATGAGAAACGTCCTGCTCACTTTTTGTCGTATAAACAGATACACCTGTACCAATAAATACTATTACTTGATTTAATGCTATATCATTTTTAAGTTTTTGAATGTCATCAGCCATTGGTCAATGTTTTTCGTTTATATGAAACTAAATATCGATATAAAAAAAAGCATCATGGTCATAAAGTAGAGTTATGTTAATTGAATCTAGATGGATCCTTTTATGTTGACTGATTGACATACCCTCAATCGTTTTGAATTTAAGATTTATTTTTACTGATCAAGCTCAAACTTAAGCAAGCAAGAGATTTATCTATACTGCATTTCGGTCAGCACAAGTTAGGGAATAGGGTTACGCTTTATTGGGGTCGGACTCACTTAGAATTTGTTGATGTAAATTTGTTTTCGAAAAATTCACTAGTAACAAAATGTATGAACTTCTGTGAGCAAAACGCGAGCACTACTTCAATACACTGACAATACAGATGTTTGATGTGAGAATGAAGAGCTAGAAAAGAAGTTGAGAAACAGTACTATATTTATATGCATTCGAAACTAGGAAAATTTCAATTTTGTGAGCATCATAGAACTTTCAAATTGGTAAGAAACATTTTGGAGAAGTAAAGAAAGAATTTTTGATGTTAGAAAAAGCATGATTTCTGGCGATTTGAATACGCACATGCGTTTATTTACCTAGCACAAAAGGATGTATGCCATCAGATGAAAAAGTGACTGTGATTGATTGCTTTTTTTTAGTAGAAAGAAAGAAAAATTTTCTTCTTCCTCGCCCAAAAAAGCATTGCAACAGAATAAGTCTAATTCGTGACTCGCATGTAATAATAAATATATGTATATATAATACTTTTTTTTATCAGGATCGTGCCATTTTTTACGCTTACCTGTTCGTCATATGAAATCGCTCAAAGACTAAATATACAACAGATAGAAAATATTTAAAAACTGAAGACAAACAAACATTTCTCGGATAAATTTTGACGGGAACAAGATAGAGAGTGACTATTTACATTGTTGTAAAAGATAAATTCAAGTTTAGAAATCTGCAACATGATGAATTCACCGAATATCGAGTGGATCTTATATTTTATGAAGAAATTTGAAAAGGCACGAAAAAACTTGGGTATTCTTTTCAAATTTTGAGGCTGGAAAAGTCATTTAAAGTTTCCGGTGGTCGTGGAGCAACACCTATCTCAATATAATCCAACCACAACGAACTTGACTGAGAAGGAATAGGCAAGTACTTAATTAATAGTTGTACGTATGCCGCATTCCGGTACAATCTCTTCGATTTTGCAAGTGCAAAATCTGTTGAATATTTAATTGGATGAAAGTTAAGTGTATCAGTTACATTTATCGACACCGCCAGTCCGGGAGACATTCGGGTTCGAACAACAAGAACCGCATCGCCCGTTTTCACAAAGTTTCGTTGCGATTGAGAGACTGATATATTCACCGATGCGATCAGATACGAAACAGAAAAATCTGGAGAAGCAACAAGGACACACATCGAGACACCATTTGAGTTGTATGGTTTGTAAACGAATGAACCAACGAGAACTGCCCAATTATTTTTGACAAGAGATTGATTACATTTCATAGGATCAACATGTCGCACAAACCGAAACTCTTCTTCACTCATGCTTCCATTACATTGAATAGTCTTGTATGTGGATAGAACATCTTCCCAATCACAGCCATTATCGCACCGTGCTCCAAGCCTATCGTTGCAACGACTCCCCGATAGATTTGCATGCGATAAGTCTGTTTGAGAGAAAGTGACGTAGTATAGCTTAGCGCCTATAACGATGAATTAAAATAAAATGAGTGAATAATCAATTTAAAGTGTGCAACTCGAGCTGTTTATTGTATCCACAATACATAGAAGAACACAGCAGCTACACTGCGCTGAAAACGATTATTCTATTCAATGCTACAGTTTGTTTCTCATGTAAACCCGAAATTTTTCATTGAGAGTAGTATCCTTTTGGAATAAATACGTTTTTGCCATTGAAAAATTCTCACACACTCTAAATTGTGATTAGAACTTTCAACAGCCTATTTGATTGTAGACAAAGATTATTCGAAATCGATGTTTACTACTGGAAGAATAAACTTAGTATTGTGTGGTGCTGACATTTTTGTTTTCCGGACAACATGGCAGAAAACAAACAAAACTATTCGGAAAACTTGTTCATTCAGTACGCAATTCTTTTCTTTCAGACACTACCTGTAAATGTGGCAAATATCAATGAGCTTCTTTTCACTTGGGACCCAGATAGGGTGGCACCTGAAAAATCGGCACTTTGAATGTCAGAATAATCGAAATTAGTTCGATCAAGAATTGCTTGTTGAAAATTAACGCCGACTAGGCTACATTCGATAAATCGACTCTGTGTAAACGTAGCATTAGCAAAGATAGCTTCGTTTATTCGGGATTGTAAAAACGAAACATTGACTTTGATATTTTTATCATTAGCTTTATGGAATTCGGCGCGTGTCAGATCAACACTATGAAAGGATGCTGAAGATAAGTTTGAGGCCGTAAAATTGGTTTCTATCATAGTTGTATCAGTGAATCTAACATTCGAACAGTCCGATCGACTAAGATTAGCTTTGAACATATAAACGTTAACAAATGTAGAAAATGAGAGAATAGCCTGTGACATATCGATATAAGACATATTTCCACGTTCAAATGTCGAATTCATGCCATACGATTGCGTGAAATTTGTATCAACCATTGATGCTCCATTGAATATCGCATTGCGATAATCTGCTCCACTAAATGTCGCTTTATGTAGTTGAGCACGAGCAAAATCAGCACCAGACACATTTTGGCCAACGAATGAAGCATTATTTAAATAAGCTCCGGCAAGGGAAATACGAGACAGCGATGGCGAACCGGAGAGATCAATGTTATTCAAAAGTGCGCCAGTCATATCTAATGGTGCATTGTCTCTGGTCAATTGATTTGCTTTGTATAAAAAACGAATGAGCTGCGCAGCCCGAATAGGTCCAATGTGAAGGAGAACTTGGAGAGTTTTCGCCGACGCCAGAGCCGTTGATGCCGGATTTGATGTAAGAGACCCGTTGTATTTCTCTAACAATTGGCCAATGTCATTCATATATGAAACAAATAGTTCATCGAAATATTGTTCTCGTTCTTGTTTGTAACGAATCACATCAAGCTCGAGCGACATATTTCTTTGTTTCTCGGCATTCAAGCTGTCGGCTGCCTGTTTTTCATTGGCAATCATTAAGTCCTGTTTCCGTTTTGTTTCATCAACTTCACGTTGAAGTCTTGCGATTTCACGATCATTTTCACGTGTCAAAATTGACATATTTAAATCTTGTTGGCGTTGCTCACGGGCTAGTTCGCGATCTTCTGAACGTTGCTGTTCAGAATCAGTTCTTTGTTCTAATGTGATAACAACAGTGAAGATAGCCAGAAGTAGTGGCAGAAGTACAGCTGATGTAACTTTAATACAATGCTTGCATGTTAGCGTACAGCAGCGGCGATAGCGTGTCTCCGGCAGTATCCTCTGTTTTTGCATATATAGATATACTTTCAGATAAAGTCTATGAACGTATTAATAGCAGGTTTCAAGAAAGATGTTTGAATGTATGCTCAAACTTTTCAATAAAAATCACACTGAAAATAAACTGAGTACAATAATACGCTATCTTGATTGTATATATTAGAATTTTTATATACTCTTTATACGCAAATATGAAACGGGATAAAATGCACTGTATATCACCATTATTTTGAAGGCAACTCAATAACATGATGTCATGTCGAAGTAAACATATTAAATGATCAGAAGATAATGTTACATTGTTGAATACGATTTATCTAAATTCAACAATGTTGTCTTATCTACTAGTCAACATATTAAAAGGCATTGTGCTGTTTCAATATGTTGATTTGAGAATACGATTTTATCATTGAATTTGGATTAACCAATCGAAAAAGGGATTTCATTATAAAATGGAATCTTTTTCTTAGGATTTATTTCGATTCCAAGGATATACTATTGACTTATAATATAAGCGAAAACAATTATCTACATAATAGCCAAAATATCTCATACTTAGAGCAGTTACTTTTCAACTGTATATAGAATAATAAAAAATTGAATTAAACGAAAAATTTTGTTATCGCTATTAAATTTTAATCGAAGGCTGTCTTTAAAAAATAGAACTTCACAAAAAACGGTACAAACTTTCCATAGGAAAAAAAGTCTTTTTAACCACACGGTTGTCTGTATTCTAGAACGCGTTGTTTATATTCCTCTGCACGTTTTGAAAGTAACATCGCTTGGTCACGCAAGTTTTTGTGTAAATCATTCCATAATCGTTCTAAAACATCATCTTCATGATTAAATATCATTAGTTTATCACAATAGTTCATTCCCCATTCGGCATAAGCAGCAATTGATCCGCAGAAAAGGTAGATTTGTACAAGATTTGAACACTCGTATATTTCAGGGACGACTTCTTTGGCAAGCGAACCCGAAACAATGAGATAGATGGACTCATTTGAATGCGATTGCACATATTGAATACAATTATCAGCCCTTGTGAATGTTTGTGCATCACCTAGTTTGGAACGAAAGCTACTCACAGGATCTGACGAATTTGCATCAAGCCAAATAATTTTATTTTGTGACATCTTGTTTAATATAGATTGTAATGGTTTAATATGTGATCAATGCTTCATGATGTTCATAACATATATACTTATCGTCCAAACACGATGGGAGCAATTGGAAGAGTATACCAAACAAGTTATTAAAAAACAACATAGGAAATACTTAATGATTCATTTTTGTTGCGTCAATGTGGATTTTTCTCTAAGTGAAAAAGAAAAGAAACGCAAGATGAAACATGAGTCATTCACACTCAACGAAAATATTCGATTTATCATAGTTAAATTCAAGAAAAAAAGAATGAGGTAGGAGTTTGAATTTTTAATTTAATAAATCTTGATTTTTCAAAAGAGAAATTACATTCTAATGATATTCTAGTTTACTTCTCTGTCTATAATTTATGTGTAAGAAAGACACTGCGTTTACTTTTCTATTCTTGTTTACCAGGCGATGTGCTTTTATCGAAGCGGTTGTTCACTCCAAGGATAAGAAATATTTATCGGCGTTTATGAAAACGTTTTTACGAGAAAAAAGTGAAGATTTACGAAAGGAGAAATAAAATATAGGGTTCGAATGCTGTAAATCGAAGAATAATTCCATAAGATACTGTACGTTGGTGAAAGTATCATTTTTCTTTTTTGAAAAATTGCTGGCTATCAATCGTAAGAATTGATTCAATTATCTAAACTCTAATTGATGAGTATTATAAGGAACAAAATTTTCGTCTTGAATTAAGTCTCATTTATAGATACATACAAATCATCGTTATTCATACGATTTTACTTGAAGCAAAACGAACAAAAATTATGCATGCGTATTTCCATGTGTTTCTGTTATTTTTCATCGTGCATGTGCACACTTCCTTTTCTCCTAAAAAAGAAATTATAGAATTTTTGCCAGAAGGAAGTTCGGTGTACTCATCAAACCGCATGTATTTCATTTTTGTTGAAAGAGTTGCACAATAACTTGTTAAGCAAAATCCGGTATGGAAATATTGGATAGAAACGAAGAAATTTCTGGTTGCTTGAAGATAAAGAGAACAAAAACAAACAGTAGAATAAGGTTTCGCTGCGGCTCTCACAAAAAAGTGTACTTTTTCTGATTCTTGAACAAATATTTTATGAATCGTAACAAGTAGTTTTACGCAAGTTGATACAAATGAATGAGAAAGAATGCTTCTTGTGTATAGTTTGTCATCGATTATATTTAGAAAACTACACATACAACTCAGTAATAATAAATTTCAATTTGTGAACATTCACATTGTACGAGACACGAAATAAAATATGAACTATAGTTGTAAGAACTATCAATTGGATGTTTATCTTTTTTAGTTTCTCTGATTGTCTGAACATGTGATCAAATTTCCACATTCTAATCATACAGATAGAGTATATGGTCTTGCAAAGTATACATGAAATGTCTTCATTTATTTATTTATGTATATAGTTAATTAAACAAAAAAAGAGGATGTGATTGTAGATGGCGATTCTTGCGCCACAACCACACTCGGACATATCCACTTATAATCTGGACAATTCCATTTGAAAAAAAAGCAAAGATTATTCATCGTTTGGATAATCTTTCATGGCTTCTTCAATATTTTCTATGGTTTCTTTATAATTCGGGCTCCACTTAAATAGTGTTAAAGCATTCAGACCCTAAAAATAAAACAACGATTATAGCTGAAAGCTGCTTCAGTAATTTCAGACTTGGGTTATAGCTACACTGGGTCCTTTGAAGTGGCAGAATATGCAGTCACCTGTGTCAGTATCTTTCATTTCATATCGGCAATTCCAAACAACCAATGAACTATTGTTGAGAACCAATATGTCATCCTTTTTCAATTCGTGCTGCTGCATTGAACCCAATGACGAAACAAAAACAACACCAATACCTGAAACTCGATAAACGAAAACGGCTTCGCGTTGCAGTATATTTTGAAATCTTGGTTGAGATCTTGTTTCTTTCGCCACCTTGTCAGTCATTGCCAAAGGACCTCTCTTTCCAATTGCCCATTCAGTCTTTCCATCGAAATGAATCGGAACAATGTCTCCCCTATGAATTTAATAACGACGTCAAATTGAACGTAATTTATACTCTTAATACGTAGATCGTAAATTCATTATTTTTCGAGTAAAGAGTTGTTTTGTAATTTCTCCTCATTAATGAAACTGAACGAATGCCGTTAGAAAATATTTACAACAGCGTTTTCTAATCAAAGATGAAATAATTTCTTTATAAGAATCTACCTTTGCATCGTTGAATTAGCAAGAAAATGCTTTTTCTGCCAAGGAAACTTTGATATATGTTCAGCGAAATCTCAGAGTAATCACATGAAATTATAATCTATCTCATAAATGAAATAGCCTAATTGTTCTATATCACTAATATAAGAATGCCCTCAACTAAAAAAAATAATTAGTTAAAACTAACGACTAACAAATACTCGAAAAGAGCGTACTTGAAATTACCAGAAAATGTTTCTCCCGTAACTTACGCCTGCGTATAAATTTTCGAAACATACTCCAAATGTTAATGTATGTTGAGCGTGAAAGTTGAAGAGTTTTTAACCTTTTTTCTTCGTTTTAGTACTTAGCCGTTTTGTAGTTTTAAAAAATCTTTTACACATGAGTTTCTGGAGAATTGAATGCTCAATCTTTTGGGAAAATGGTCAATTCAAATCAATGAAGAGCAAAAACGATATTGAGTAAATAATGAAAACGCCATTCTCTATGGGCCACCCGTTACTTTTATGAAATCAACTGCTTATTTTCGGATGGGCGCCGCCCACCCTGCCCATACAGTAGATAAATCACTGGTAATAAGTTGTTTATTATTTTAGGACGTGTCACTGGTAGACCTAAAACAGATATCATGATCGTCAGATGTGGAACAACCAATGAGAACTAATATTGTGTTGTTCATTATTATCTCATAAGAACAAATAAAGATATTGTTTGTCTAATAAAAGACAAATTTCAGCATAAATATCAGGAACGAGTTGAGAATATTTGTGATGGCAGTCATGATCAAAAATGACTTTCGATATCAATTCAAGCCAGTATAATCCCTTTTATTTTCGGCTTTGATAGAGAAACATAGAAAAATGAACATTTCGCGATGGAATGGCGATCGGCAGCTTACCGAAGCGACGAATACTCCACTGACACGTATATAGAATTTCTCTAATGATGATTTCTACTATAATAATTATTCATCTTATTTTATGGTATTTTGTTTTTCTTGAACTATTTTATAAAAAAAAACATCTATCGAACGAAAAATATAGAAATAAATATGAAGTATCAACTTTCAGAATATTTTATTGAAACTGAAATAATAATAAATGCGGAAACATCGGATTTGCATTCGATTGTTATGTGAGCTTCAAAAACTGAGTCGATTTATATATGCTGCGAATAATTCTGAGAAAAGTTTCTTTTTAAAATCCCTGTACCCCCCAGGGATGATCTTGGTCAATAATGACAATTTTTTCAATAACTCAACCATTTCTTGACGGATTGCTTTCATCTTCGAATTCGACTGAGATATTGATGAGATCATTCTGTGTACAAAATTTCATGATAATTGGATGAGGCTTTCAAAAGTTATCGTGTTAGCGGACGGACACACTGACCGAATCTAGTGTACTCACTTTTTTGAGTCCACAATAATAAACTTGAGAAGAGACGCTTTTATTCGATATGAGCGACATATTATTTATTTAATCAGATCTATAATAGAGAATATGAATGTTCATCGGCATATGGAATACAAGAAAGAGAGAGAAAAGTGATCTCATTCTTTTCCGTCTATTTACCGTCAATTTCGATTATAGAAAAAAATTGTCATTGTTTTCATTGACAAAATCGGTTAAATTGTATGCGTCTATATAAGCGAAAAAAATACACAGATGAAGATAAATATGGAAGGTTCGTTGTTGGCTTTAATTGATTTACCTGATGAGGTTCTTCTTCTCATTTTGAAAAACTTGGACAATATTGAAGTGCTCTACTTATTCATTGATTTAAATAAAAGATTTAATAAACTTGTACATGATTCAATTTTTACCAATCACTTAACAATGATAAGATGTTCTTCTAATGGTTCATTTGATCGATTAGATGCGCAAATACATGATCGATTTTGTTCACAAATTTTATCTTCGATTCATCATAACATCAAATGGTTAGATGTTGAATGTTCGTTTATGGAAGATGTTCTTCTTTGTACAAGTTATCCTAACTTATCGGGACTTGATTTACATAATATCGCGAAGAACATTGCATTACGTATTTTTACTAGTGAGTGGTTTTTTGATTTTTTTCTTTCAATCATTAATACTTGAAAAATATAGATAAATCAATACAATTATTTTTAAAAAGATTCTTCTCAAAATTGTATCATATGACATTTTTTTTCTATATGAACAGAAAAGAGAAAAGTCTTATTGTAAATCAATTTGTTCAGTTAGAGAAAACTAATATTTACTTTATAAGAAGAGAGAAAGACTAGGGTGGGTGTGATAATATCATCCAAATATTTCAAATATATTATCATTAATTTTTTATTTTTATTTAGAAGAAACTCCTTTAACTCACATATTTCAAGATAAAATTTCATCACTTGTTATTGATGTTGTTGAATGTGAAAGTTCAAGTATGAATGACACAAGCAATTCAAATATATTTGCCCACATTTTAACTTTATTCTCCAAGTTAACATATTTCGATTATAGATCATCTTTTTGGTATCAATCGTTATTTGAAATGTCTACAACTATTTCCTCTTCGATTCTGTTAGAATTGCATGTCAAACTGTACAAATTTACAGATTGTCTTTATTTACTTGATGGTCGTTTCGATTCGCTTGAAAAAGTTTTTCTTGATATTTATCAAATATCTACTCCCGAGATAGTAAATAATAAAGTAAATCGATCCATTTAATATCTACTATTTTGAAATAAATCGATTTATTTTTCTAGAAAGAATTACCGAAGCTAAAAGCGTTTTCTCTCTATTCTGACCAACCGACATTTCAATATAATGAATTGATTGTGCCACTTCTACACCGATTGGTCAATCTAGAAGAACTCGATCTACGTCTTGTCGTGCATTGTGAGAAAAGATTTGTTGATGGTTATAATTTGAAACACAATATCATTAATCATTTGTTTAAATTAAATAAATTTCAATTTAACATACGATCATGTCTATATCTAAACGATCAAGTTCATTTATTATCAAATGAGGATTGTCAACATTCATTCAATGAGTTTAAAAATAATAAAGTTACTTCACGTATCGATTATTTTCAAAATTCCAAACATGGTCAATGTCATATTTACTCATATCCATATAGAGCAAAGACATATGAATATACTACAAATAATTTTCCAGATGGATTATTTAAATATGTTCGTGAAGTTTCATTAAATGACAACCGTCCATTTGAACATGAATTTTTTGTGAAAATTGCGAAATCTTTCCCATTTGTGGAACAATTAACTATATACAATAGGACACCACAGAAGAACAAATCTTATGAACAATCAAAATACGATAATCAACATTTATCACCTATTCGATATCCTTATCTGAGTGTACTTGAGTTGTTTTCGGGTCATGATGATTATGTCGAGCAATTTCTATTGGATATCAAAGCATCTTTAATAAGAACGGTCAATCTTCAAGTTCCACTTTCAACGTTGGATAGAATAACACACAGTTTTACGAGAGATGCAACACGAATCAATTGTGGAAAACTATTGTCTATATATGTATCTCCTGGTGATATATCGATTTCAACGCAACTCAAAGACTATTTTCCTCATACAAAAATTTATACACTTTGAATAAAACTGATTGGAATTGCTGAATTATTGTCAAATAAAGATGTATAAAATAAAATAAAAAAGAGACAACTTGTTCTATATCGACCTGTTCACCTCTATGAGCGGGTTTTTTCAGAAAAATTGATCTAACACTATAACGGTATGAACAATATGAACTGAATTTTCTGTGTAGTGAGAACCGGACATCAGAAAACGTAATTCCGTCACAATGCATTTTCAACGGTACGAGCTTAAACTTCAAAATTTTTAAAGCATCCTTCTTTCTTCAGATAGTTTGTCATCTAAGCTACACTTTTGTCACAGACTGTTTTTCCGTACACCGTATCGTTGTGTAGAATTTTGAAGTTTTCATGGATTCAGTGAAAATGACGGTCCCTTTTTTTCTGATTCCGTCGCGGTGTATAATTGCTCTCGTTAAGCATGCATAAGAACAGCAATCTTGATATAACTTATGGCACATGTAGAGCAACTAGGACTACGTGCCATGTGAAAGTTTCAACCTCATATATTTCTAACTCGCTGATAATGTAGAATGTACACGGGGAAAAAAGGGATTCGGCCACGCTTGGACAGGCGGATATGTTATTTCCGGGAAAGAGAACTTTGACGCATATGAAAAGGATTTTATTTAAAAAGCGCTTATTTAGAAATATGAAAAGTGAAAATCTACGAGATTTCATTATTATCAATCAGAGATGTCGAATGGATTGGATTGATCCTGATCTACTTATCATAGTAAACAGTAATCAAGGGGCATGAGCAACCGAAGTTTTCAAAATTTTTGATAAAAAGGTGTTCGGACAACGAATTTTTAATTCAGCTTGTTCACGTAAAGCGACACTTCATACACTGTTTCATTTGAAAGAAATGATTATGTAGAGAAAACTTGAAAGTGTAAGAAAACGTATTTTGTTATAAGAAAAATTATTTTTGTGCGTCTCTAAAAAAAGTATCGTATACATTAACGATTAATTTCAACGTTGTCTTTTGCATTTCTCTCTCCCTTACTTTAAAACTAATCATGCATTTAACTAATGACTAGTTTCGATTATATCGTGACTAAATAACCATCTCCTCATAAAATATTAGATTGCTGATGATGGGAAACATCATAATATACTTATAATTACTTAATAAAACTAGTAATTATAATGGATAATTTTTGAAAAATTCTCTCTGGGCCCAAAAGAGTTAAAAAATGCAAACCTCATATGCTGCTTAGATTGTAATGAGTGAGGACTGAAAGAATTTACACATAGTACCACAAGAATATATGGAAAACCATTTATAACAATTAGCGTCTCAATATCTTCTTGGAATCAAATAAAGCAGCAAGAATTTGCGATAGATCAAACGGTTCATAAGACACATATGATAACAGTGGTATCACAGAAATGCAATTATTTGTTGAAAAACGGTTCAGCTACAACATCCAGATGTTAACTCTAGAGTGTATATGTAGAGTGCAATTTGTTATATTCATTGAATCTTATCCTATTCCGTCTTCTAAAATCCATTGAACCAACTTTTACATCTCAGGACGAACTGATATGACTCTCATATAATTTGATATGTTTTTGAAAGTTCGGGTAGAACTAGGAATCGAAATGAGACAATAAATATGTTTTTTCATATACATTCTATAGTCAAATATCTTGAACAATCCGTTGTCATAAGATTTCTCAATGACACTGAAAACAATTTCATTCCAGGTAAGTTTTATTACGTATTATTCAATAGTTGTATAAAAAAAAGAATCTAAACATAGTTAATCATTATCTTGATCTTCATCATCATCATCATCATCATTTGGTTTTTGACATTCTATAAGATGAATTTCAACAAATTTTGGATTTTTTTGTCGTACTGCTGTCCAGTGAAAAATTTTTAAAGTGTGGGTGTGGGTGTTGGCAGAAAAGAATCATCATGCACACACGGACGCTCACACACGTAAACCCACATTTCAATCGAATTCAAATTTCAGGTTTGACACTACTGTAATATTTTTGAAAATCCCATCATATCATTCATCTTGTCGTCTCACTTTATTAGTAGCACTATCTATCTCCATGTTCAAGCTATTTGGCTCTGTTACTCGCAAGTTTTGTATAGGTTATTTTTGTCGCCTGTTGATTCGGCTCTTTCTCTGGAACAAGAAATATGAAGAAAATGAACTCGAGAAAGGCCTTTGATAGGCAGTCTAATGCCATCGACATATTTCATCACAACTGTGTCGCTGTTTCGTGAATCGGGATTTGTTTGGGAAAATTGGCAAAACATCCTCAGTTTTGACGATGTATCGCAATTTAGAGGCAACGAATATCAGCCATCATAAACCTGCATCTCATTTATAGATAAATATCGATCATCATTGTCGATACGATTTTACTCCTAGCAAATGAACGAAAATTATAAATGCACATTCTCATGTTGCTGGTGTTTTTCATCGTGCATATGCACATTTCCTTTTCTTCTTAAAATAAAAAATTATTTCCACGAGAAAAACTAATTCATAGCACCGTTGCCGGAATGAAGTTCTACGTACTCATCGCACCAGGAGTATTTTATTTTAATTGTAAGCGCTGAAGAAAAACTTGTTAAGTAAAAATCGCTAACGGGGAATATTGGATAAAAACAAAAAAATCTCTTCTTCTATGCAAATGAAGGGAAAAGAATTTTAAAATAAAGTTTTGTTGTACCTCTCATGAAAAAAGATCTTTTTTCTGATTCCTGAACAAATATTTTATGAATTGTAACAAGTAGTTTTATGCGAGTTGGTACAAATGAATGAGAAATAATACTCCTTGTATATTTGATATTAAACCTGTAGAACTTCGCCATACTCAAGTATCGAATACGTGTTTTCTTCGATAATCTTTGGAAAAAGGCTTACACAACTTAGTAACAACATATTGAAATTTGTAAACATTCACATCGTATGAGACACAGAATAAAATATGAACTATATCTGTAACAGCTATCAATCTTGTGTTTATGATTCTCTGAATATGTGAGTGTCTCCACTTGTTAATCCTGCAAATAGAATATGATCTTGTAAAATACACATGAATGTCTTCATTTATTTATACAGTTAATTACACAAGAAGAAGAGGAAAGAATTTATTCAATCAAAATCAGTTTGTAAATAATTTTGAAATGAGAATTGCTGTAAAAATAAATCTTTTTCTGTCATAAATTTGACTGCTATAGTTTCTAAATGATTGATAAAATTTGAGTTATGAGCCATCTCAAGATTATGTGCAAGTTCATGGCATGCCAAAATAAAATAGAAGTTCACAATTGTGTGTAGTATTGGTATAGATGGTGATGTTGCTTGTAGAAATGGTTGAACTTTATCAGCAAAAACTTGCTCATAATAACGAAGATTAAAAAATAACGCCCGACGATCATTGAATGCAATTCGAGCTAAACGAAAAATATAAAACATAAATAAAAATATTGATTTCAACTTTACCTCCGTCAATATCTCGATAGAGATGTAATGTTTCAATAGGTATTTTAAATACATGATTAGCAAGTCCTATCAAAATCCAAGCTAACTGTTTAGCATGATCAAGCATTTTAGTTGTAATAACAACATTTCGTTCGATATACAATGGTACCATGTGAAATGAATCTTTATAACGTGTCATATTGGCTGATGGTACAGCTTCACATGAATGATTAATTTCATCTTTGACATGTTCTTGTTGAACAAATTTTGTTTGTGTATATGTTCGACCTTTCTTCAACATTGACAATAATTTTCCATCATCTTTTATTTGATGGCGACTAAAGTCATCGACACGACCAGTTATGTCAACATGGCTTTCATGATGATGATTATTATTGTCGTTGTGATTCGATTCAGGCTGTTCTTTAATCGCTTGAGCTGCTGGACGAACATGAAATTGATTATGTTGAAGTAAACGATCAACAGGTATGCCACGACGTTTAAGTGTTTCTAAGGGTGATGCAAGTTTATCACTTATCATATGAGCAACTGTATCTAGTGGTTTTCTAAATACAAATCGAGCCAATTCACTCGCTATATCAATATAATCGAATTCGCGAATATGTTTTTGAAAATACAATGCAACGGTATTTTTATCATTTTCAAGTGCACACGAACTGCTATCAGTTGACTAGAATAGAAAAAATGGATAAATAAAACATTTTCAGATAAAGATTTATGAATAGTTTACATCGAGGGTAATCGTCTTTTTTTGAAATGTTAATTGACATTGAATTCCATCAACTTCGTAAACAGCTAAAGTTGTTCGTAACATATCCACGTGTTTTTCATCAAGATTTTCCATTTTTTCACCCTAAGAAAAAAAAACAATCAACGTATTAATTAGAAAATTTTATAATAATAAAAACTTACTCGATTATTGACAAATAACATATCAAGACGAAATCGAATTAAATCACGTAATTTATTACCCCGATCGGATGTAGCCACTTTTCCTATAGAGACAATTATTTATTTGAAACCGAAAAAAATTCCTTGCTCTTCTAACCTTTATGTACTAGAGTTCTTTTTACACATTCTGATAACCATTGTGCACCAAAGTTTTCATATAATTTCGTCAATTCTGGTTCATCAGGTGGTAACAATGGTCGTAAGTCGACTGCACATTGATGATCATCATCAAGATAGATTTCATTCGGTGGCACAATTTTAAACATTCGCTGTTTTTCAGTACTGGAACGTCTTTCTACTGTTTGATAACCTAAACACCATGGCTGAGTTTTCAATCGTTTTACTAATGATGCTGACTGTAATTCATTGGTTGCATTTGTTGCCATAGCAAGTTGTCGAAGGCAACTCGTATAAGCAAGTAATTTTTTTTGTAAATCATCAGAAGTCACGTTTGCAAAATAATTTGCTTGCCGATCAATTAATAATTCGGCTAAAACAGAAGCAGATGGATGATGCAGTACGCCAACGCCAAGAAGAAAAGAATTTCCTTCTGAACCATAATCAACATAATCAATGAGACCACTTTTATCAGTATCATCCATAATCAATGGAGTTGATGAAACTGTTTTTGTCTTTTTATTTTTCGATGTTGTTGCTCTAACGTTTCGCTTACGACCACGACTAGAAATTGTTTGTGTTATTTCATCACTATCATTATCATCATCGTCCGATGAATCTGGAACGATAACATGAATTTGTCTTAATCGTGAGGATGATGTTGATGTTGAACTATCCGGACGTATGAAAACTTGTGATGGCTTCATAAAATATGCACTTCCTTCGAGAGGAATAAAAGTGAATTTTGATACACGTTCGATTAAAGGTCGACTTAGACCATCGAGTTGATTCATATAAGCGAAAATCTTTGGTGCAGTTTCTACATTGAGTATTTTTTCTTTCTTCTCCATTAGAATATCAAATGCTATGGTTAAAGTTGGGCGATCTTTAACGCCAATTAAAGCTATATTGAAATGTTCTTCGAATAGTTGAACAACATCAGATAACAATGTTGCACACAATGGACTTTCATCTAATTAGAAAAATACATAGAAGAAATCTGTTTTTTCTCTTCAGAGAGTTCAAACCTTTAAAAACTTCGTCGGGTAAAGATAATTCAATGCTTTTTGATGATAAATAAGATGGCAGAAAAGGCCGTTTAATTTTTGCTGCTTTCCATAATTTAGAATAATGTTGTTGAAAATTTTCCGCTAAAAATCCAAGTGCTTTCGGTAATCGATATTCATCATTTGATTTTTTCTTTTGTTCATTATGTTCTTCGATAATTCGATCAATTAATTTTTGTAGATCGGGTACTTCACGTACGCCGATTTCTTTTAGAAATGCATATTCACTTGATCGAGCATCAATGTCATGCCAATCAATGATTGGCAATGTTGTCCATTGCAATTGAATAGCCACAGAAGGAAAATGAAGGTCTTGCGGAGCATATTTTCGCGTGTTTTCTTTATTGGGCATGAGTGTTGTGCCTTGAATATGAATGAAAATGTTTATGAAAGTTTTCATTAGCTAATTATATTTACCTTTGAGACATTCACTTTGTTTTAGTGCATTGAAATCTCCTTCGCTCATGTTTTCTCGTTCTTCCATTAGATGTTGAATTAGAGTTTTCATGCTGTGTGAATTCGATGGATTTGTTAATGATGATCGTGCATGAACAAACGATTGAACATTTAATGTTCGGCAACCTAATCGTTTGAGAAATTCCGCTGATACAGGATTCTCCATGTTCTCCGTAGTTGATTGTGCATCATTGTCGTCGTCTTCGTCATTCAGATTTTGTGGTACATTTAATGTAATAACGGGTAAATCTGGCGATAAGATTGATGATGGAACATATGATTCATGCGGAATTTTCATTCCTTGATTCGTTGGTATACATGTTAGAGTTGATAATGTTGTTTTTAATTTATTCCATTCAGTTTTATTTAATTGACCGGAATGTTTCGAAATAACATGCAATAGACATGTGGATGTATTTTCTTTGGTAAACAAATGCAATTGACTTTTAAGTAGATAATGATGAACAAAATCTTTCAGTGTTAATGGTATTAATGATAGTTGCTTTTGTAATTCTTCTCTGGATAAGTACGCAGCTACGCTCGCAGGTAAAACATGTGTTGGTAATGGAAGATTCGTTGAAATATTGAAGTTATCATAATTTTTTAATTTTTCTAATGTGATGATTGACGACTGAGGTGTTTCACGAAAACGTACTATTGATAATAAACGTTTTATATATTGTTTATCATCTGTATTTTGACTAGATAACCAATGAAGAAATTCGACAAATTGATTCGATAGAAGAATGGTTGTGATTATAGTGGATTCAATTAGTTCATTGTCGACTTCGACAATCAGATCACGATCTTTTAATGCTTGAAAGAGACCATTTTTACTTAATTCATAGGGTACAAGTGGTAAGGAAAGAAATGAATGAATATGTTTAGAATTTGCTGTGTAAGCTTGCGCTGATGGAACCAATGAAAGATTAGTATCAGCTGGAGATCGTTTAACTGGAACGAGTATTTCTTTGTTCGAAGAAAAAAATCCATCGACAAGAATCGTACCTTTAAAAAGAAAAGATCGACAATTTATCTTCCTCTCTAAATTGTGAGTCATCGAATACTTATACAATATCATGTATTTTCGCCTTTTAAAAAACAAATCCTTCATTACCTATTTCATTATTTGGTACCGATGGTTGAAATGAATAGGAAGCAAGTGTAGAATCGAATTGTTTGTTATCGATCATTAATTGGTCAAAAACAAATCGTGCGATTTGTCCAACAGATAAAAGAAGTTCTCTATTCCATTTCGATATATATGGATCTTGTAAATCGAGATTTTCACGTTCAATGGTTGGAATTAAATGACTGTAAACGTGCATTCCAATGCCAGTTGTTTGATGCGTTCCGAGACCAATAAAAATTAAGCCCGATGGAGAAATTTCACCGTTTTGAAATTTTAACGGTATCAATGAGTTGAGAATTTTCATATGAAGATCCTGCTGTTTTGCTGATTTCCTTTGTTGTTGTTTATTTACAATCTAAGATAAATATTTTCAAGTAGAAAGAAAAAACAATTCAAATTTTATGTTACATTATGAGGAGTGTATAAGAGTTGAATTTGAACATTCGGTGGTAAACTTTTCTTTAATATACGTCGAATATGATTGTGATAAGTTTCATCAATAATCAATGTTGCATCAACAGACACATGATTCAATGTTATCGATGGTCCGTGTTCAATCGAAAAGCTTTGTTCAGTTTGGGCAAATGAATCAAGACGTAACATATTATGAATTGAATTCTTTTTAAATTGTGAATTTGATTTTGTTGATGGAATCGGTTTTCTACTTTTTGTTACTTTGAAAACGATCTTTTGATTAATTTTTATTATGAGTTCATTGATATATTTTGTAAATGATAAAACTGAAAATTAAAAGCAAATGATTAATCATCTATGTTTGCATTAAAAGTGTGGGCGTTGAAAGCTCCTACGTCCGGATATATAATTCCTCTCGTTATACAAAAAAAAGCTTTTACGAAAGAGAGATTAATCTTCTACCTTTAGTAAAATAAGCTTTGAGTTGTGCAAGATTAATAGTTGGAATAATTTCACTGGTTGTTGTTGCTGCAGTAGGCGTTACACTTTTCTTTTGTCGTTTTTTACTTGGTGATTTACTATTAGGACTTTCATTGATATCCAATATTGAATCGATATCGAGCGTAGTTTCTGTATGTAAAATATATTTTGTACGCATTTTAAGAATAATCGATGTTAATTGAGATTGTTCGTCTAGTGGTAATTCATGACGGTAAGTTGTTAACGAATTATCGTCCCGCCAAACGAATGCCATATATTCCTTTCCTGATGCTATGATTGGTTCTTCCGAAAATGAAAAAACCGAGAAAAAGCCCACGCCAAATTGACCAACTGATTCAACATTTGTATTTCCTTCAGCTATAGCTGCTACACGTTTCCAATCAGTTTCATTGAATACAAGACCATTATTTATAGCACGAATTTCTGTTATGGTTTTATTATGAAAATCTTTTTCTGTCGATGATGATAATTCATCATCGCAAGTTATTTCAAAATGAAATGATGTTGCTTTAGCATCGTCAGAATTTTGAATCAATTCGCGACAAACAACAAAGTCAGAAGAATAACGTGCAAGCATTTTATCAATTAACATCCGTTGATTTACTTCAACACGACTTTCAAAGCCAGATTGTAAAGCCTTTAGACGTAGGACATCGGATGATGCCGAATGATGAAAAGGATTTTTTGACATCGTCGAATCTAAAAGATGAAGAGAAAAAAAAATATGCAAATGTAAAGCTACTTTCCTAAATGAAAAATGAAGGTAATTCGAGTTTGTATGCTGCTTATATGCTGACATAATTTTGTCTTCGTGTTGCAATTACTTTTTTGAACAGCCTGTTGCAAAATGATTGGACACGAAAATATTTACCTTCATCAAGAAGATTTTTAGTTGGTTTTTGGTATTCAACAAATATTTTATATAAAATTATTCAGTGGATAACTGACAACGAATAAAATAGAAAAATATGAAGATTACACAAGAGAGAAGCAAGGAAAAGAATGCTCACAAAACAAAGGAAAAAATATGAGATAATCTTCATCTACATAGGATCACTATGTAAACGATTACAATCGTCTAGAGATTCAAAATGGACTCGGTGGCGAACAGTAGATGTTGAGTTCTTTGGTGAATGAATAATACTATTTCTAGGTGACTTAGATAGTAATGCAGTTGCTGTAGATATTGTTTCTTCCGATAGAGGTTTCTCAGGTTCATCATCATCGTTATCGCTAAATCTAAATGACAAAAAATAAAATGAAATTCTCCGTCAAACTTCCACGCGTCATATATAACATACTTCCAATCGGATCGCCGCACAATTCCAACTCCAATAAAACACATGAATAGAAAGATGAACGAACAAAATATTGACGTAAAGCTGATAAAAGATTTCTAAAAAATCAATAGACGTGCTATTGTTGTTGTGGTTTATTCAGAAAAGCAAGACGTTCTTACATAGTAATTGGGTAACTCAAAATACCTATTGGTTGTTAGATAAGCACAAATTTCTGCGTACATTTCATCTAAAGCAAAAGTATAAAAATAAAAGAAAGAAAGAAAAAACTGGCAACGCATTCATTTCCTCCCTTCTCATTCTTTTATTGGTACGTCTTCGCATGACTCATGAGACCAACCAACGAGTGTTTTTATTGATTTGGCAAGTGTAAATGTGTCACAAAATGGGCATGACTAGTAACGATGACACTGCAATCACTACCGAATTTTATTTTTCACGTTCGTACTTAAACTGTTATCGAGATTATCTGTGAATATTAGTGCACCGAAATCAATGTGTTTGTGAGGAGCAAAGCTTCCAGCATTTGTATACAAATGGAAGGTAGTGAAGAGGGCTTGTGTGAATTTGTTTTTTGCGAAAATTTAAGTGCTAGTAATATCAGCAAAAAATGCGAATACCCATTGTTTTCATTTTAAAACTAGATTTTTAATTTACTAATGAGAAGAATAATTGTAGCGGATAGAGTGCAATAAATGCTTACGTTGTGCTTTTACTCGAGTATCATATTTTATGTTAATTGGAATACATTCGTTGATAATTGACTAGAAAAGGTTTTTTTTTAATAAAAATAAGAATTCTTTGAGAATTTTTTACTCACAGCACATCGACTTCTTAATATGGTAAGTTGTTGTTCATTGGGAACTTTTTTTGATTTTCTTCTTGTATCTTCAGAATTTCGTGCAAATGGATCGAAAGATTGAAACAATGTTTTCGATCTTTTTAAAGCATCACAGCGAAATATTGAACAATAATCCGCTAAGCATGCGGATTGCTCGTGCTAGAGAAAAAAAACATAATATCGTATGACAAAAACACAAACGATTTCTTTAGCGCTTCCTACTTGAATGAGAGTATCATTGTGTCGATTAGATAGATGCATATCAAGATAATATTCCGAATAGAACGTTTTATTACAATATTTACATTGCCATTCATTTGGTTTTACTTTGACTTTGTGTAATTCTTGATGATGGAAAATATCACGTTTGGATGAAAAAATACATTCAGCTGGAATAGATAAATGATTTTTTTCATAGATTGAACTAAGAGCCTAAATGTCGCATTAAAATAATCATTTTCTTTTCAAACTTCAATAGAATTACTTGTATAAAATAATCTCGAACTAGTCGACTATTTTCACGTGAACAAGATTTACTACAGATAATAGAAACGTTTAAAAGAGACCAAACAATAATAAATAGAAGATAAGATTTTATCATCATAACATCTAGAATGTAAATAGTTAGATATAATTTATGAGATTAAAGCCACACTAAATGGGAAATCATTCGTATGTGAAATAAAATAAAATAAAATAAAATACTGCAAATATCACGTATGATAATACTGTGATTAGGAAGATAAAAACAATGCGAAGCTTTTGCGAATAAACCCGGAATCTTATGCTATTTCTCACTATATTGTTTGTTCCGAGTCATTGTCACTTGTATTGGATCCGCATTTCGATTGTTTATTTGTATATTCCAAATAACTGAACATCGTACCACCAACCAATGATAATGCAATACCAAGTGTAGTCTTATAATTAATCGATAGTTGATCAAATGCAAACATGCCAACGAATATTTGAAGAATACTTTTCAAAACACCGACTACCCTATTAAAATAAGAAAACAAATTTGATTAAAAAAAAACGATTTTCTCAATAAATACGTTGTTGTCAATGCTGAATTTTTAATTGTACACCAAAATGTGGTTGCATTTAGAAGACCACCACCGATAATCGATAATAAAAAATAAAGCCAAAACTTAGCTGTACTATATCCATCATAGGATTTTACATTTGACAATTCATGAGAACTTGTTATCATAAAAGCTACTATCATTGGTAACGATAATAGACTATTGATATAAAGGACGTCGTTAGATGTTCGTTGTTCACTGCATCGTTGAACTGTAAGGAGATAAAGCGAATGAAATATCACACTAAAACTTCCGATGGCATAGGATTGGAAATGATAAGCAACATCACCAGTAGATGTAATTGCAGCACCAAGAGTAATTGTCAGTACACAAAAACCTGTTTTTAAATTAAGCTTCTGCTCTTTTAATACGATAGCAGATAAAAGAAATGTCAATGCTGGTGTACAACGCTATAATATTAAAAAAAAACAGAATGTAATGATTTCCGATCGGTTATTATCATCCGCTGGCTTCGTAGTGGCGCTTTTTGACAATTAAGGAAAGTTCTGCAACTATATCGGGCAGTGATTTCCACTAATAAAAAAACAATTCTCGACTTGTCAATCGAAATTTGTTTTTCTCAACACAGAAACAGTTTTTATTTACGTTCTCATTAACTTCTTCTGTTCGGTAAAAACCATTTTTAATGTTCCATTGGAAAAAAACGTTTTATTTCTTACTTTGAGTGGACAAATGATAAGCTTCAGGCTATGAGTAAAGCAATTTTTAACAAGGATCTTTAGTTTATCCAAAAAATGCCGACAGGTCATCATGCTCCTCAATCAATATGTACACCCCAAAGGCCAAGGATAACACTCAAGGGATATTCTATTAGTGCACAACTCAATCAACCTTTCATGAATAATATTTTTCTGTTCTGTTTTAAAAACTTACTTTTATTATCACGTAAACAGCTACATTAAGTTGCATCAGTGCTTGCAAAGATAATACTGTGCTTAAACAAAAGAAAACCGATGGAATGATTAATGTATTTAATTCATTTTTTGTCATAACGGGTACGGTTATCCGACGAAAATAAACCAAAACATGGAATGATATAAGTATAAAACTCAGTTGAGTGGAGATCACAAATAAATTATTACGAAATTTGGCTATTTCAAAAAGTGCTTTATTAAAAAATGCCAATATAAATGATAAAAACCCATAAGCTATCATTGATGATACATGTAACATTATTAAATTTGCATGAACCTTAAAAAAAAGCATACGAGACAATCGAAAAGATAAATTAATTCGTTTCAGTAGGTGAAAATAGTTCAATATGATACATTCGTAAGGTGTGCACGTTTTTATCAATCGGGCTCTGAAGTTCCAGAAGAACTTTTCTTCGGCAGTTTCATTATATTTCATGATTCGTGTACCAAACACCGTTGGATTCCAAAGGGATATTATTTTATAATAAATTCATTGAACTCTAGTTTTTCTATCTTGTTAACCAGCACGACACAATGTTTGCACGCAAATAAAGAAATTTTACTGTTGATTTAGACGTATTAAAAAGAATACTTACACAATGAATGATTCCAACACTTTTATAATAATACTATAATCAGAATGCTTATTGCTTTATGTCATTGAATATGATGTTGTCTATAACTAAAAATAAATATATATAAACATACTATTTTAGTCAAACACATGTAGCTCTACTCTACGCTAATAAAAGAAACGTGTTTATAGGTATTGATAAATGTATTCATCTCAAAATAAAAGCCAATGTAAAGCATTATCGTTTGGGTCATAGATCGCTCATAGCGATGAAACGATCTCTCAAGCAAACATTCTCCCATCGAACAGTAATGGAATGGGATCGGATTACACGAGGAAATTTCTCGTGCTGATACCTTTATTGACAGATAAAATTTCAAAAGGGTTTGTCTCTTTAGATTTCTATTTAATATTTTTTTCTCCTTTAATAACATAGTCAATCAGATCAAGATCCCGTGGAGACAATATGTTTGCAAGGAAGAAAAAAAATTAGTATTTACATCCATATGATATGAAAATCCGCATTTGTTTATGCGGAAGTTTCTTATTGCTATTTAATAAGGCAAACGATCTTGGCTTTGTTTTATCTAAGCCATGAAATCAACAAAAGGCGCTCGAGCTTTTATATTCTGATTTATGTGCCCATAAAGGAAAACAGATCTCATTAGCGTTGACCGTGAAGTAATTTGCTACTTCTGTTTATATATATATGTGCAGCACCTTACTACTATCCTTAAGCTGTTTTAGTCATCAATGGACTTGTTGTTGGAGTCTATTAGGCATTAAGAAGGTAATCGGCCTCGATTATATTTCCCGGCGTTGCTGCTTTCTCGTTCCTAATGTTACTATTTCTAGTTCTTCGACATTCGTGACAACTCATATGCATGACAATCCGTTGATTAATATCCGTTTGTTACAGATAGAAAACAAACTGTTCGTATGTATATATCTATCATGCATTATAGCAATGTTTTTATTGTAGTTGTCATGTATCATGATAGCTTTTAATAACGTCTATTATTAGTAAACGAAATAAACTGATTTACCTGAATGTTTTAAACATTTTCTTGTTTTCCATGGCGAAAAAAATTCATCTAAAAGAACAAATATTTCTTTTTCTATAACGATAGACTTATCTCATTTAACAGCATGAGAAGTAAACAAAAACAAGAAAACAACTAAAAATCTTCGTCTATCAGACATTGTCTTTTGGCATAATGGCTCTTGTTATATTATTGTTTAAGCAATAAAAAATAAGATAGGCAGCTGCAATTTTTGAGCGTGTATCCAATATATCATAATCATGATAATATTCAACATTAGTCCAACGTGATATTTGGAATTCGGTTTCGAGTCTCGATAATACAGAAATATCTTCTACTGAACGAAATTGTTTTATTAAACAGATACTTAATAAAATTGATTTTAATTGTTCAGCAATAAATAAAAATATCATTAATGATGATCGATCAAAGCTTGATAAATATTTTTCAATTATTTGTCTGTCAGTTTCTCTAATAAGATCTTTTACATGAAGATCGTATGTTGATTGAAACTTTGTATTCAAATGTTCATTGACAACTTTTAAAATTGGATCCCAAGATGTTATTTGTAATTGATGGAATTCTTCTGGAGCGTCCGAACGATAAAGTAATGTATCCCAGTCAAGATAATGCATGACTTTTGCTATAATTTGTTCTTTATTTAATTTTAATGGATTATCAATGATGGTATTTATCAAGGAATTTAAATGCATTGATGCTAGATCGATTTTTTTCAATTGTTGATTCCATTCATGTGCGAGTGATAAGGCGAGAAATTCATTTTCAATGGTAACTAAATTTCCCGATGGAGTTTTGAGTTTACGTTGATCAAGTAAAATTTCATATTTTGTTGGTGATTGTGATGATTCAACAGTCGAAACTTTCTTATAGAAACGTTTTCGCTCTCGATTTGTTAAACCAAAATTTGATGTTGACGACGTTGAACGAACACAATAACGAATTAACGATGAACTTGTACGAAAAAATAACAAACGATTCATCTAAAATCAATACATGATTAATTGAAATTCTCGTTTTTACTTTTGTTATGCAGAAAAAAAGATAATTATCAATATAGGTGCAATTAGGTAATAGATTAAAAGAAAAAAATCTGTGTGATTTCCTGCATAGAAGAGAATTATATGATGACTTTTGTATCAAATAAGTTCAAGCCGCTATAATTTGCACATCGACTGACTACGACTTTAGAAAATAATGAAAGACCTTGGTATATCTTCGTTGAATGACTTAGAGACAATTGCTTTCTGTCAATCTTAACTAATATGTATTCAATAAAAATACAAAATCCATATACACAATTAGATTTACTCATGACACTAATCTATATAAGTATAACCTTTGGAAAGATATTGGCATACTTGATGAGTTAACCATAATGGTTTTTACCCTAAGAACAACTTGTTAGTTCTTCACAGCTCAAATGTAACTCTATGCTGTTAACGAACGAACAAGCAAAGGAATAAATGGATATGTCAAATGCCCAATTACAATGAATCCTAAATTGTCATCCATTGTCTCAGCAATAAGCAGGATAGATGGCACTGCGGTATGGTTCGTGTACGCTGTGTATGGATTTCCAGGGTGTAGTTCAGGGTTACATAATAAATCACTCAAAAAAAAAACCACCATAATATCTATTCGAATTGAATTTTATTCATGAAATACTTGATTCAGATATAAAAGTAGTAAAGAAAAGTATTTGTTGTGTAATTGTTTACCCAATGAATGGTAGCGAAAATCAATCACATTACGCATTCGATATTTTATATCAAGAAAATAGGATGACAGAATTTCTTTCATTATTGGTTGGCAGCTGACAATGTAAAGATTACTGTTTCTCTTTAAAGGAGGGGGCGGATAACAAGCCAAATCGGCCTACTTTTTAAATTGTTTAAAATTTGGTACGCATAAAAACGTATTTAAACGTGAAATGGTAAGTATTCGAATTATAAAAGAAAATTTTTGATGAAATTCGTTTTCGACCGAAGCCTGATGGATACCACAGGTGAATTTTTCGAAAAAAATGAAAGCTTAAGGAACAAGTAGAAACGCTTGTAAACTAACTTAGTCTTGAATGCTGGTTTTAGATGCGTTATTCTTTTTTTGTTATAATAGTAACTTTCTCTCGAAGTAGCTGCCAAAAAGTAACCAAAAATGCAGAGAATCCTACCCTTTGAATACTATCCATGCAATTTCTTAGTTGGCCAAGCTCTGTTGAAAATGGAAACTATACGATTTTGTAGCTCGTAAAATTTGCTATCAAACAGCGCTCTGCTTCAACACTTCTTGATAAATTGTTATGAGTCTAAAAGTGAAACGCTTCAGTTAAAAAACCTCCAACAGTCAGGAACCGGACCAATAGAATATAGCGAAAAGTTTATTGAATAAACTTGTTCTTATAGGAATCGATGCAAAATTAAAAGCTCTATCTAATGAGACTAATTTCATCTAAAAGTGGCGTTGTTGTAAAAATTTATCACCATGTTGTTGCACCATGTGAATATCAATGCTAACTAGAGTAGTATTCCCAATATTCGCCGTACAAAACATAGTCGGATCGATGTGAAATTGCTATAAAAGTACTCAGTGTACAATTCTACATCGGAATATACCAAATTTTAAACAATTTCAAAAATAGACCGATTTGGCTTGTTATCCACCCCTCCTATGGGGAAAATACATTGAATGCTTGGTCCCAGGAGATTCATTCCGACCTACAGATCTTCCAAGAAACGACCGGATCCGGTATCGGATCACACCGGAATCCGACGAGTTCCACAGTAAAACCGGCCGGAGTCGATCCGTATTACTCCGGATTCCTAACTAACGGATTCCGGCCCGGATTACGCCGGAAAAGGATCCGATCGGATCCTTTCGAAATCGATGATCGGAACTTTCAGGAAACGATCGGAACCGATCATAGACAAACGCCGGAACAGAAAGACTTCCTGCGACATTCCACCGGATTCCTATGCAGTTCAACCAAGATTCATCCGGATTATGTAGAGATTCCCTTCTCTCAAAAATCCCTTTGATTACCCATGCATCTCTAACAGATTTTTCCGGATTCTAAAAACATCCACTATCGGGTTTTCCGGATTACTAAGTCATTCTCATTAAGATTATATGGATTAAACAAAAATCCATATTATGATTTTGAGGTTTACAGAATCATCCACATCAGGATTATCTCGATTGAAAAATAAACCACATCATGATGAGGTACAACACGCCAGTCATCTAGGAACATTCCGAGATACTGATTTCGATCACCTGGCATCTCCCCTAGGAACCTCACTTCAAACTCATACGATCATTTCTAGGTACAACAAACCAATCATCTAGGATCGTTCCTACGAACAACACACAAATCATCTAGAATCATTTCTAGATAGCACACACCAATCATCTAGGATCATTCCTAGGTACAACACAAAGATCATCTAGTATCTTTCCTAGATATAACACACCAATCATCTAGGATCATTCCTAGGAACAGCACACCAATCATCTAGGATCTTTCCTAGATACTACACACCAATCATCTAGGATCATTCCTACGCACAACACATCAACCCAGCTTGAATCATTCCCAGGCACTTCGCACCGATCACCTAGGACCATTCCTAGATCGCCTCGAGGGATCGGCTATCACCCTTTCAAATCGATAATATAGATTATCTGGGACCACTCCTACCACTGTAATGTGAATCGTTTAGGGTCCATCCTCCAAAGTAACAATAAAGCAAAGCCAAACATTGCACGCATCACTACACAATAAAATAACTAACTCTTCATGTACATAAATATGTTTATATAACTTTTCTCAACACAAAACACTGAGTGGCATCTGACAGTGATCCAAATGGACGATTACGATGGATTACTAAAGATTATTATGGATTACTAAGGTTTATTATGNCTGATTTCGATCACCTGGCATCTCCCCTAGGAACCTCACTTCAAACTCATACGATCATTTCTAGGTACAACAAACCAATCATCTAGGATCGTTCCTAGGAACAACACACAAATCATCTAGGATCCTTCCTAGGAACAACACACAAATCATCTAGGATCATTCCTAGGAACAACACAAAGATCATCTAGCATCTTTCCTAGATAGCACACACCAATCATCTACAATCATTCCTACGCACAACACATCAACCCAGCTTGAATCATTCCTAGGCACTTCGCACCGATCACTTAGGGCCATTCCTAGATCGTCTCGAGGGATCGGCTATCACCCTTTCAAATCGATAAAATAGATTATCCGGGACCACTCCTACCACTGTAATGTGAATCGTTTAGGGTCCATCCTCCAAAGTAACAAAAAAGCAAAGCCAAACATTCCACGCATCACTACACAATAAAATAACTAACTCTTCATGTACATAAATATGTTTATATAACTTTTCTCAACACAAAACACTGAGTGACATCTGACAGTAATCCAAATGGACGATTACGATGGATTACTAAAGATAATTATGGATTACCAAGGATTCCTAAAGATTATTATGGATTACTAAGGATTATTATGGACTACTAAGGATTATTATGAACTACTATGGATTAATTTCGATAACCAAGGGTCGGATGAAAATACATCTTGGTCATCCAAGTTTTAATCTCAAACTGTACGTGAAAGGGGCCTACGAAGAGTCGGTTATATATACTTCGTTCTTCTTTTTTGGTTTTGTTTAGGATTGGCTCAACATCGACTAACGGCGATGCCGCTTTCGTGCGAATAACGGAGAAACTGCTCGCTCGTATTCTACTCACAACAAATTTAGGTAAATATAACAGATAGAAGTAAGGGTTAAGGTTAGGAATAAGGGATTAAATATGAAATTAACGGTTGGATAAATCATTAGTCTAGAGTACTAGACTAATTGAGTGTGGTGGACTACATTTTACTCCTATAGAACCATGTTTGGAAGAAATAGGAAAATGTTCCAGTTAGAACCAGATCTTGCTTAAACCTTAAATGGTTCTGATAATGGTATCCAAATCTAGAACCCTAAAAGGTTTAGTATGACACCTTTTTTTTCTTTCTGAGAAGGATATACTCTTATCTTAAAATCGTAGAATAATGAATTCTTAAGTACCCATCATATACCCCTCGAGTTTCATAAACCCATAGCGTAATAAACCCTTGAAGGGCTTAATGGCGACTTTTTTAAGTGCAGGTATTAAGGGTTTAGTTGTTCTCCCTTCTTGTTTATAGAAAATCGGGAAAAAACTACTACTAAACAAACAACATACAACAAACTCACACATACATAGTTCTCTCTCCTCCCTACACTGTAAAAAAGCGTAGAATAATAAACCCTTCATCATAGATTCACAAACTCTTCCCCTTAAATTCTAGTGCAATGAACCCTTTTTATTTTCAAATACCCTTAGTTTCATAAATGCTTCAGGCAATAAACGGTTTTAGAGTTTCGGACAAAATCATAAACCCTTTAAGGGTTTATGAGACCTTTTTCTTAGTACTAGGGTTTAGTATTCTACAATTTTTTTTACAGTGCAGAAGGGTATGAGTGTGTCGATCACGAAAATTAGAAATAGGTGATATGGGATTATTTAAGATGCTCTTGAAACGAGTAATGTTTGGGTAAATAACCACATGTGAAGAGTGGTGATGTGTGTACTGTTTTTGAGCAGTATTAAAACCGTGAGATCGGACCTGCTGTAAGAATACGAAAATTATCGGGCTAGTTAATTTGGCTAAGATTTTTCCTGCATTTTCTCAGTGCTATGTCAGTTAACCCAGTAAGTGGTAGACTTCACGTGAAAGTTCTGTTGTTTGCTGTTCTGCATTAAACTAGGTTTTTACAGAACCCATAAATGGTTTAGAGAATGGTACTAAGATATAGAATTTTCTTATGGTTCAGTATGATAGCTTTTGGTTTTAGAGAGCATTCTGAAATGTTGCTATTAAAATTGCATTCTTAATAAAATTGACACATTTCCAAGCACATGCGGCTCTAGACTGTACGTACGTAGTTATATGAATGAATAGAAAAATCACAGTGCGAGCCCATATATTACTCTCACGCCCGCCGTTATCAATACCAATAAGCGATGACAAATTGTGTGGATAAGCTAGCTTCTATATTTCTAGTTTTTCATCATCTAGTTCAAATAAGAAAATGACATTAGTATCTTTTGAAAGCGATTATCAATCAACGCATCATATGATTATTCTACTAGTCATGTACGCCGTAATTATGTTGATGAATATAACCATGATTTCAAATCTGGTTGTCGAGCCAGATTTTCAATGGTAGAAGCGGCTGCTTTTATCATTTTATCATAAGCAAATACGTTAATATTCTCAACTGTATCACAATCCTCGTGATAACATGGATCATGCTCGACATTTGCCACAGTGCAATGGTCTGGACCAAGAAGTTGATTATAGCGATCACATTCCTCTTGTGTTCTAATATCATCTGAACCAGAATAAAGACCACCGACAGGTACACCTTCGATTAAAAACGGCGCATAATCACTACCATAACCAAATTCAACAAAATCCCATGGTAAATTCTGCTGAATAAACCAATCGCGAAAAGCTTGTGAAATTTTGTAACTACCAACAATGGCTGACGGCAAAGTGTCATTGTTAGCTGTTCGACCATCATAAGTAGCAAATTGGAAGTTGGTCGAACCGATCATATCAAAATTGAGATATGCTACATAATCAATGAGGCGTTCACCAACAACGGTGGACTGTTTAGCTTGTGCAACATGATATTTCGAACCGAGAATTCCATTTTCTTCGGCACCCCACCAACAGAATCTTAAGCGATATTTATATTTAGCATAAGTAGACGTTTGAAAAAGACGTGCCAAACCTACAGTCCAGGCAAGGTTGGCTGCACTACCACTACCTAGAATGAAATTTTTGTATCTAAAATTTTAGATGCCATATTCTATAATTACCATCGTCGTTAATGCCAGGCCCAGAGTATACACTATCACTGTGACTGCCAACCACAATTGTTTGAGTAGGATCGCCAGTGGGAGTGTCAACACAGATGTTACCGACGGCAAACGATTCCTCGTTTAAGAGTATATTAGTAATGCGAACACCTACCATTTTCCACGGATTTCGAGCTGCATTAGCAAGTCTTTCTCCGAGATCGTACGAAAGAGAGAGTGCTGGTATAGCATAGCTCTGTGCCATATCGACGACCATGGGTAACATGTGATTAGGCGATGTTCCATCATTATATAGCAACAGGGCTGCCCCATTAAACTTTGCAGCAAGAGTGCTTTGTTCGATAAAAGTACATGCACCCCGTTTGACTAAAGCTACATGACCTGAAATCGGTGGATTTGCTTGTATCCAATCAGCTTCGAAACAGCCACTATTTGGAATAACAGTCACTGGTATGAAACTGGAGAAATTAGCCGATTTGGAATAACGAACTCGAAAAAATTCAGCTTCAGAATAATCTTTTGAATACGTATGATTGGTGATAGTTCCATCAATCGATGATAGAAGAACTGGATCGTATTTAAGTTTAGAATCTCGTACATGGAAATCAGTTTTAGTAATTTTAAAATTAGTGTGAGTTGATAAATATTTCACCAAATAATCCAGCGTTTGATTGAAACCAGTGGTACCAGCAGCACGATTTCCATTATTAGCCATAGCAATGCGTTCTAGTTCTTTAAGATGTGTCATTGCTTCATCAATTTGAACCGATTCGGCCAATGTTGATCCAAGATATTGCTTACTTCGATGTCGATCATCGATAGGAACCGATTTTGCAGTGAATAAATGAAAACATGTAGCATGTATTAAAAATACTATTAAAACAGTTGTAATAAAATGTTCTACCATCAGTACTTGAATGTCTGTACTGAGAAACTGTTGCAGCTTAATGAATTAAGAGCAGAAAACTAAGATATTGTTTTGAAAAATAAAATGCAAATATGACGGTGACTTTTTCTTTGATATTTACAAATGAGATTACTAAGAAATAAATTTACTCTTTATGGGCTGATCATTATGATCAAATATCATGTTAACTATACAAGTCAGAAGGATGATCTTAAAATTGAATGGCATATTTGATCTAGTCTGCAGTAAAGATATATATATTTATATGTAGAATTCGCTATACTATCGAACAAGATTATGTGTATGTTTTTTTTAAATACGATTTAAAACGAGTGTTGAAGTATTTCGAGTACACATTTGTACCCATCCTCGCGACCCCGAAAGACAAATTAATTAACTTTCCATCGCTTCCTTAGTGTAGTTCAAATATGAATCAAAGAAAACAAAATTCTTGTAACAATTTTTGCATGTAGTTAAATCAGGATACGCGTTTTAACTCCTAAAGAGTTGCGCTAACAGCTTTTTAGGTCGTTGACTTGAACCTGGATTGTATTAAAATGTCTGATAACAACAACTCACGTCGAAATATTTTTTGCGCCTATTGTAATCGAAGTTAATATGTTCGTGAATTGAGCTCAGTAGTGAGAATAAAACAAAATTAAAATTTACAAAATACCTCCGACAAGCAGAGCTTTAGTGTTTATTTTCTTAGTTAAATAATTACAATTACATTAGGAAAAAGAGACTTCTACTAGCGCAATGCTTAATTTTTGTAATTTCGAGGATTCAAAGCATCGAGTACTTGTTCGAGATCGCCTTTTTTCGACTTAGCCAATTCAGTCAGTACACCATTGGAATCGACAAAACCCATCGATGTCATGAGCTCAACACATTTTTCAATCTGTGTTTGATCTTCAGCTGCCGTAGGTGTTGGATGTCGAAACATCGGAGCAAATATAGTTTGAAGCTGTTCCATTAAATCATTTAATGGTGGAGAAGCAGTCGAAGTTGTTGTTATTGGCTCATTTTCTTTTGCTGTTGTTATTGGTACTTCTTCGTTTTTCTTGTTGGATTTTGATTCTTCTTTTTGTTTGCCAACGGCACAATCACATTTAATACCGAACGATGTGAGAACTTCACGGACAGCTCTACCAACATTATCAAGTGAAATCATTTCATTCACAGGTTTATCAGTTTTCAATTGATTTACAAAATCCTTGAATGCTTCTCTGTGTAAACATTCGGGTACATGAGTTTCAATCAATTCTGATAATTCTTTTCCTTTGAATATATTGAGAAAATCACTCATTACTCGTGGCGCACCAAAGTTAGAAGGTCGACATTGTTCTGGCATAAAATGATGTCTACAATGGCGTACACGTCCACCCCGATCATGTTGAAAACCTCGGGTTAATTTCAGCATATTATGTTTGGAATGAAGATTTTTATTCGAACAAGTTTGACAAAGATCATAATTGAAACATTCCAAACATCTGAAATCAAATTTTCCCGTATTCAAATAAAGTAAATAAATGGACTCTAAAAACTTACTTGTAACGATTACCAATAACAGGACCTTGGCATCCATCACAGACAACACCAATATGAATTGTAGTATTTTCACTTGCTTGTTCGTGTGTTTTTGATTTTGGTTGGACGAAAATTTTGATCATACCATCGATAGAATAGTTTTTCAATGCTGATTGTAATTCAGCGTTCGATGAAAATGTAATACGATCATTATCTTCATCGATATATTGTAATATAAATTGTCCTTGAGGATAGTCAGTATTGAATTGTGAAATTTTAGTTTCCAATGCTTCATACATATCGTTATCCGATGAAATGGTCAACTATTCATAGAAAGATTTTAAAAACTTAATAAATGAATAATGGAAAGCTTACACAAAATCGACGAATTTCAGGATGTTTTTCATTGCGATCATTGTAATAAACTTTTACAATAATTTGCTGTGTATACGACATTTTTCTTGTTGTCGGAGTAGTAGGAAATTGAATGATCAATCCTATAATGCGATGCCTGTTTTATAGCATACGCATTGCGTTCGATGAATAATCATCACAGACGCAAAAGAATGAAAAAGAACATTGCATAAGCTATAGATAAAACACGTTGACGTGTCGTCGTACGCACTCGTACTTATGGAATACATTGGATGGCAGCAACAATAATCACAGTAGAATTACTCATTTTCAAAATTGTCTATCACGATGACCATGCGTTTTCTTTAAAAAAAACTTAGAACCCCTATCGCAAACGCAATGAATGTAGATGCTCGTTCTTCTTCCTTTCTGTTGCATTACTTTCAAAAAGCATGTGACTAAGTCGACTCAAAGATTCTAGTCGTTTCTAGAAATAAAATCAAATCATATTGAAAAAATTTCGAATCATATCACACATTATAAAGTAGAACATGACATCAAAATTTATAATATCTCTTCTTTTTTAACTGTGTAAAATGAATAGATTCGAAAAATTTAATTTGATCATCATATTTCAATATTACAGTCAGCCTGATCTATGTTTACTAACTAAGACTATCGTCAGCGCTATAAATATTTCTAAAAGAATCAATTGTATTGTAATTAAATAGGTTAAGCTTTTTTATGCTGGTGCACTATAAAAATCATTGATAATACATTGCAAAGATAGGTCACTTAATTCATGCACTGTTGAGGATTCCATTGCCAAGTTTCTCTTTCTTCCTAAAGAGAAATAATCGATGAACTGACAAAGCAACTGGTCATATTAGACAATACTTGGTAGTGAAGCGGAAATGATTAACTTTATAGGTTTGACAGGAAGAAAAAGAAAACTCGTTTGCGATCAATACTCCATTTGTAACCATTGTGTCCCACCCAGCGGCATCACCAGGAGAGGGGCAAATGGGCAATTTCCCAGCTCATTCGGAGAGTTGCCCTTTGTATTGTTTATTAGTAAATTTTTGCCCATCAAAATTTTCTTTTTTCCGAGTTGTTTATTTATTTTTGAATTAGATAGTTGCTGCATTTTTTTCTTCCATCTGAATCTCACATACACTCTTTGTGTGTTCTTTCTGTAAAGAATTCAGCAAAGAAGAAAAGAGTAGCTTCTTATATTTTAACTTCTGCATGCTTTTTTGGGTGACTTACGTTTCGTCTCATCTCTTCCGAACACCGGTAAATGTTACCGGGTGTTTGGAAATGAATTTTGTTCGTAAAAAATTATGACGGGAGTTCGTAAACACCTTTTGTACCGGCGATCGTAATAGACAACAGGACGATCGTAATGTGCTTATTGGACGTTCGGAATAGAGTATTTTTGCTATATTTAATGTAATATCTGGAGATCGTAATAAACACCGTCGGCAGTTCAGAAGGAAATTCTAAAGGTGCTTAAACGTGGAGTCCGTAGAAGAATTTATAAGGATATTCTAATTGCTATAACGACTTTCTGCTCTTATAGACAATAATAGGTTGCATTTTTGATTACATTCATGATTATATAAGTAGAAGATTATTCTTTCTCTATGTATACTCCTCGTGCTATAGTCTCAGCAGTTGTTTCTAAGGGTATGAGTTGATTAAAAACCAACATTTGTCGAAAGCAACAGCTGAGCAAGCTGCTCCTAAATCTTATTTACGTTCAACTCCAATATTGAATCGTCTTACGTTAGAGTTAGACCCAGCAATCGTACTACTGCTGCTTCGTCTTCATCTTGCACATCATCATCTCAATCTGATCTCATTGCTTCAACATAAAAATATAAAAAAATAACAAGGCTCAAAAAACGTGTATATCCATCGAAGAATAAATAGAATGAAGATGTAAATTTACACTAGAGTCATGAATATATATATATATATATATATTTATTTATTTTCTTTCAATAAAGTTAGTATCTTGCAACAGAAAGTATTGAAGGAATAAGGAGAATAATAACTAATACTAGAGTTATTATAGTAAACAGAAGTGCAATCGTAGTTGCTTGAATCCGCCGAAACGTTGACGATACGTGATTTTAGGTTGCGACTGTAGCGTATCACTTCATATTTTCTCACATGGAAACAAAACCTGAACATAATACTTGCGAAAATCGTGTCGTCTTTTTTTTATTACGGTTTCCATGTCTTTCTCATTGCGAACATCCGGACATTCTGATTACGATCTCCAGCCAAATTTTGATGTTCGTAAAGAGAAAAACTTACATGGAGTTCGGAATTAATTTTGAAAATAGTTTTTTCAATGATTATATCCTATGAAAAAGTCATTGTCAGAATTGATTCTGAACTCCCTGTATTTTTGTTGTAATTCATTTACGAACTCCGTTCCGAACACCAACCATGTCTTTTTTCATGTCAGGAGATCGCAAACAAATTAATGTACCGGAGTTCGTAAAAAAGAGGTAAGACGAAGTGCTATTTTCCCGTTTTTTTCCTTACTCGTCTATGTGTATGTGTGTTAGTATATCAACAGTTTCTACTGAAAGAAGTTTCAGCAAGGGGGAGACTTTTGATTTTCATAATTTTAAGTGACTTTTGGTAATTCTTAATAATTTTTATCAAATTAAAAGCTACCGGAAATGACTGGAAATTATTGGCAATCACCGAGAATCACTGAAAAATCATTTGGCTCACGGATACTTTTTGATGATTTTTGCCTGATTTTGGGTTGATTCAAGTCACTCCCCCCCCCCTGAGTTTTAGTGAATTATCGAGAATTAAAAGCTAGTGTCGGTCTAAAATAAAACAAAATAGATTAAGCTGACTTACTGCTGCATACACTCCTAAAGATCTTGATATACACCCCGAGGAAATATTGAAATTATATACACAAATGCATCAGCGTTGTCTTGATTTTGGTGTTTGAATTTGAAATATAAATGTTATGAACAGAGAGACTGAAAGTAGACTAAAGCACACTCGATACAGGCATAAAATCTGAATTTGATGCATATTTGATTTAGGGGACCTTATTTCATTTTTTATGTTATCAGCACTTTGCTGGCCAAAAACGTTTTGGCGTATCAATAAAAATCTTGCTCATTTTGTCCATCGTGCTTTTCCGACACAATAGAAGTTTGCCCATTGCTCTAAAAATCGTGGTTCCGCCGCTGGTCACACCATACGAATCGTGCTTTCTTTTCTTTTTAATTAATAATTTTATGATTTTTCGAAGGTTTTTCTTATCACGATGTCACTTCACTTGACTCCTAACGTAGTTGTTTTGTGGAACTCACGTATATTTTCGAAGAAAATAGTGAGTGTAGGATGAATTGTTAGGTTTTTGCGACTCCCCTGTACCCCACCCCTCCCCATTACAGACATAAAACATGCAAAAACTAACCCTTATGTGCACTAATTAGAAAAACAAATCGTACAGGTAGATTGCCTATGTTCACCACTACTCATATCAGTAATTAAAATCTAGTTTCACTAATTCGATATCATTATAATTAGGATTTAATCTCTAATTAATCTTCAAAATCTGTCGTTTTTATTATTGTAATCCATAGTTACGACAATATCGCATATTTTTATTATTACAAACATTAGCAACGAGTGTATGCTACCGCTACAGAAGCTAGCAACTAGTTTATGCTACTATTTAGACTCATTACTTCTACCACTTACAATAAACAGGTGAACATTATAATCTTTTTTTCTCACACAAATACCTTAATCTAGAGTTTGAATCCACTTTAGTGTATTTACAATTCGCAACTTTTCCATCTACTGGAAAGCTTTTATCAAACTTTCGTTTATGAAAAAATGTATCAATTTCTCACCTGGTGATGCGAAAAAAATATAAATTTCTCAACATTCTGTATAACATCTTTGATCAACAACATCGATATCTATATCCCCTAAATACTATTTAAACTATTATCATTCACAATATTTCTCAATGAAACCACTAAACACTTCAGCGCACTGACATTTTCTAAAAAACAAATTTTCATATGTTCTCTCTAGTAATATGTTCTATTGATAGATCCAACAAACTTCAAATGTCAAGAAAGGTTTTATTATCTTATTTTTGAATAAAATATGATCTCACTACACTGAGAAATAACACTTCTATTTGATCAGTATCTAACTGACCGAAATATGTGAGTTCCACATTTTAGTCCCAACGGGGCTGCGCTGAAAAGCTTTCTTGTATTCCCAAGGAAAGAAAGACATGACGATGAATAGTTGATAATAAAATGATTTCTCTATTGCTGGATGCAATGCAATGACATTTCTTACGCGATTGAAAATAGTTGTGTCGGGATTCTATCTCAACTACACTATTTTTACACAGTAAGATGTAGAATTTTCTTTTTAATGTATTTGCTCAGAAATCAATTATCTAAGTTACTCGCATCACGAGATTCTTAACGATATTAAGTTCCCTATTGTGATGATCTATTAAAAGTTTCTCTTGAATAGTAAAAAGGTTGTTCACGTTTTCAGGTATCAACTAGAACGAGCTCTGTTGACATGCTGAGGATCGTTTCCTATTATATCTTAACTAAAGAGCTTGCAGAAAATAGATTGAAGTTCTGATGAGCGAAATACCTTGAAAGTTAACACATATTAAATTTTTGGGCACCGTGACAAGGAATGGCGCAGGTGCCAAAGTAAATAAATCATTTTGTATTTCCAAACAAATTAACTTTATTTTACCAGCAAGTAAAATCGTCATGGTCTTCTACTGTGTCGTAAGATAATTTCTCATCTCTGTTCATTGAGTTTCCTTGAGATTTCACGATCTTGTTTTTGTTCTGTTCTGTCTACTATCTATATAGATTATGTGATGACTATTAGTCGATTAACTTGTGACATTTCAAAGACAAATTAATTGTCTTATTCTATTGATAGTTATTGAATCCGATAATCAAGGCTGATCGTTCTTTTTAGTGCTAAGGAAATACAATTTGCATCAACTTTTTGTTTTGTTTTTACTAGTGCGATTTATTCTTTTTCTTATAATCTCTATA